AGTGAGATTATTTCAACTTCAGCTAAAAACTTCTCACGCTGCCTTAAACAATAACACATATTGTCATGTTTGGGAAGAAACGCTGTGAGAAAATTTCCAAATAGATATTCAACAGGTCAAGAAGTAGTTTCCAGTCCCACGTAAGAGAAAACCATGAGCTATGACAGAATTAATTAAGTTTCATGGACTGTTAAATACCACGACCTTTTACAGATGGATCTGCTTTGATGCAAAAAGTTATAATAAAGTAAGTTATCACCACTATTGTTTTCCAAAACTCCTCAGGTCCCAGATTCTGCTGTTTTTCCAGGACAGAGGCTGCAGTGTTTAGCGCTGCTGTCATGGCTACTGCCATGCTCCGCAGAGACTATAATGCCTCCAAGTCCTGGATCTGTAGTCCTAATCCAAACCGTTTACAGACACAGAGAACAAAGCTTCGCCTTCATTCAAACTCCAAAACAGGGGTATTATATATCCTCTTCCTCCTCCATCTGTTCTGATCTAAAAATGGTTTAGAGACACGACGGAGGCCAGCTTCTTATTTAATAGCTTTAAGTTCTGTCTGCCGACTCTCAGACTCACTGACGGGGAGGGAGGAGGGTTCATGTGATGAGGAAGATATGCATTGTCAAAAACCTGTTTGCTCTCTGTACTGGTCTGCGTGCTCTTGGATCAGGAGTTGTCACTGTGTAACTGTGAGTTGTGAGTGGGTTTAACTGAATTTACAGAAATGAGAAAGCATAATTTTTAGAATGGAAATGGCCTCCAAATATGTTGTTAACCTAATTGTAGCCGCACTGGTGGCACAAGAAACCGGCCTTTTAGTGGATTGGGATGGTTTTAGCCAAACTTTCACTCTACATTGTTGCAGGTTGAATATGTCCTGCAGCACAAGACCACAAACCATTACCATATTTATCATATTCATCTGTTTCAGTGAAAACATCATTTCGTAAATGCACTTATTGCGTCTTTGCCAAGAGTCCAATAAGACGATTGATATCAGTCTAGTTTCTTTGTTAAAGCGAGGAGCAGGATTTCTTTAGCTTAGCTTAGCATGAAGGCTGAAAGCAGATAGAGACAGAGTTTTATTGTGCAAACAGAGTGTTTATCAACAAAGACAATTTTTCAGGCATTGCAGTGCAGTCATTTCTAAGATGCACATAGGGAAGCAGATTTTTTCATATCAATCACGGTTTGTCTGAAATCACATGTGCTCTTAAACACCAGAGAGCTTTATTTCAGCAAAGACTGGTGTAGAACTGACTAGTTATCGTCTGATGTCAATTAAGTCTACGGGGGTGAAGGCCAACTTCCTGTGCTGTCAACAAATAGCAATGTAGGACTTCTGCCTCAAGGCTGACACACACTGAAGATTTTTGAAACCCAGCAGATGTTGAAAGTGTGAGTGACCCCACACATGGCACGTTTTGTTCCCATGATGTGGACTACAACAATATGACCAGTGCAGCACATCACGTACTAACCCAGAGTCCACTCTTATTACAGTGGAAATCCTGCAAAACCACTTGCACTCTGATGTGATATTTCCATTTTTTCCAGGCTTTAAAACATTCAAACATTGCTGGCACAAAAAATTGGTGATGATACTTGTTGGACAGCTTGCTGAAAATTCAAGATGAAAAACTGGTGAAATCTCAGAGCATGGGTTGGCAGTGGGTAAAAGTGTCACTAATGGTACTGCTGGCTAAGATATCCAAACAGGACAAAGTTTCTGTTAATCCCTTTAAGCTGGGTAAAACAGAGACAGTTCAAATATCAGTGGACCTAGAGAAAGGTGGGGTGAACAACCTTTTATTAGCAGGTGCAGTGAGTTTTGACCTATTTCAACAGTTACTTATAAATTAATGTTTGCTAATTCATATAAATAGAATAATTATTAACAGCTAGATTAAAACAGCCCTTGGGTAGAGCTTCAAATCCAAGGGTAGAGCTGATAATCAGAGCTGGTTCACGTTTAGGCTGGTTCTTAGTTATGCTGCTATAGGTTTCGGCTGCCAGGAAACTGGCATCCCCCCTTTGTCTGCGTCATGAACTCTGAACCATCATGTCTCACTAGAGTCACTAATACACAGTCTTTTCTGGGAGTCCCTGAGCTCTATCATGCTGTAGGTTCCCCTGGATTGTTGCTGCAGACGCTTTGCTGCTGTGGACCTGCCTGCTTTCCTGCTTCGCAGCCCTCATTATGTACCTCAACTTTATTATTACAACTGCGATCGCTGCTATGCTATCTTTAAAGACCTATTGACTTTAATTTGGCAGAAATTAAACTAAGATCTCGCTATCAGCATTATTATGCTGTTCCTGTAGATAGCACACTTGATCCATCATCCCTGGCTACATCTGCACTACTGCTGTTGTTGTTGGTCTCTATTCATCTCTCTCTCTCTCTCGATCTCCCTCTCTCCCCTCTCTAAACCCAATGCAGTAGCAGCAGATGACTGGCTAACATGAGTCTGGCTCTGCTCAAGGTTTCTGCCTGTTAAAGGAAGTATTTCCTCTCCATTTGTTGTGAAGATAAGCTGTATAAATCAAGGTTGATTGATTGATTGATTGACTGTCTGCATCCAAATATCTATCTTATTTAACGGGATGCATGTAAACTAACAGCATTTTGCATATATTCTCTACTAATCCATTGACAGGATCAGTTTGGCTCGTCAGGGGAGACATAACATAGATGAACACAGCGTCTGACTCAGCCGGCTTTGGCACTTCTTCTCCTTGGTTTATAACTGCGTCCATAGCGGCTCAGCTGTGACAGCATAACAACAACAAAAAGCTGTTTTATAAAGCAGCTCAGCGGTGAGGTAAGTGGAAAAACAGAAAAGCCACATTGTTGTGATTGGTAATACTACTGCTACTTTTATTGAGTCTTTTAAAACCCGACACGATTACGTCTTCTTGATTATTTACTCAGCGTTAAATTGCAAACGTGCACAGCCGAATCTGTCACTTTTAATCACGCACTGCCCTTCTGTTCTCTCATTACTCATCGTGACGCCTTCCTGAGCGACATGTAAAGCTGGTTCAAGTTCACGTTTGAGGAAACCACACTGGAACATGCACAAAACCTTCATTTAACTTTGTTTCAAACCACTAGTTGAAGTAATTTACTTGAAAACTGTGAGAAAGAATCTAACAGTAGCTGGTCCAACTCTGTAAGTAGTCTGCTAAAACTTTGAGTGTGCTGCGTTTTCTTTTTTCTGTCAAGCTTGAAGGCTTCATTTATACTTGCCCAAAGTTTCCCTGAGCTAAGCCTCTCTGACCTATTACCCAAAGTCCCACAAAACCTGGTTTGTTCAAGTCCCTTTAAAAAACACACGTTTTTGCCAGATGTTGTTCCCAGTTTCTTTCCACACACTCATAAAACATTATGTTTAGAAAGGGGGAAAAAAAAAAGAGAACATAATGACCTCAGGATCTGCTTGTTGTTGTCCGGAGCTGCAGGAGGCTTGTGTGTAAGATGATGAGGTGAAAATGAAAGAGTGAACTGATCAGTCCTTCTGTCGTCATGTTGAAACTCTCCACAGTGCGGTCCTTCACTTCCTGAACTGCCTCTCAGTTTCACTGAATGAATGAACTCTCTTCCTGTGTCCCCGCCTGCTTCAAACAGCTCCTTTAGCAGCATGTTTACATTGTGGCAGAGCTTCTCCTTGCCCTCTTTAAGTCATTAGCTTTAATAGGCTGTCACAGCATGTACGGAACCGACTGTTCCTCTGTACAAGTGCAATGATCTGTTTAGTCACTTTTTCTCCCCCTTTGCTAAAGTCTACATCACAGCAAACTTAAATAACAAACAGCAGTTTGTCGAGTCCCTGTGGAGACACTTGTACTTATTTTTAAGTACATGCACATGTAGACTGTATGGAACATAGATGTAGTCTCTGTGACGTCTCCTTTTGCTTTCTGGAGTGAGGGTTTGAAACCCAACAACGGCAGGCGCCATATTGGAAATGCTGACCTCAGCTTATGTCGGGTTAGATGTTGTCAGCATGATTATAGCAGGATTATAGATGTCAGTTGTTGAGTTACCGACCTTGACAAAGAGATTGAGAAGATACTTTTCTCTTGCACAAACATTATTGAACGTTTTCATTGTGGAACAATTTGGTACCTAAGAGGTCAACTGGAAGACACCTCGATTGCAACAAGCTAAAAGGGGGCACGTCTCTACCTTCAGCAGTAGAGACACGCTTTGATTTTTGCCCAATGCATGAAAACTGGGATGAGGACAGAAGTCCAATTACTCTGGTTTGTCATTTTCTTGCTGAAATATAAAGGTCTTCTGTCTGGATGTCAGCAGATGTTTCTCCTAAACTTGTTTATATTGTTCAGCATTAATGAAGCCTTCACAGATGTGGAAGATACCCATGACATGGACTTTGATGATCCCCCTAACATCAAGGGTGCTGGCTTTGAACTGTAAGCTGATAACAAGTTGGTAGGTCCCTCTCTTCTGTGGTGCAGAGGACAGGGCATCCACGGTTTCCAAAAGAAAGTCAGATTTTGATTTGTCAGACCACAGGACAGTTTGCTGTGTGGTCTCTTTTTATGGTACAGTTTCAACCAGCATGGTTAAGGAAGCTATTTTGAACCCATGCAGCAACTTCTACTACAGAGTTATATTGATTTCTAATGCAGTGCCTCCTGAGTGCCTAAAAATGATAGCGATCCATGTTTAGTTATCAGCCTTATTCCTTTTGTACAGCAGTTTCTTCAGTCACTGAATCTTATATTCCTACATCTGTGCAATTTTATGCTACGAAATGTTATTCTAAAATTGTTGAACTATTTGCTCTCCCATTCTCTCACAACTTTTTGAAATGTGGCATCAAGTTTTAAATGAACATATATTTCTACACATTTACTTTCAAGAGCTTGTCCCAACTTATTTTTGACTCTCTGACTCCATCTTCGGTGCTTTAGCATACTTTGCCTGAGGTTGTGATTCTTTCACACATGTCTCTGAAGCCACATTGAGTGGGAAACATATTTAATTGTTGGTATGTACAATGAATTATAATCCATAATCACTCATTAAATAAGCTACAATGACACACGTGTACACGGGCTTACAACAAAGATAAGAGACAAACAAAACGACAAACAGCTCTTGTACAAAAATCACAATACATTCTTTAAGTGTCCTCAGAAGCTTTTTTTTTATGTACTGTTAGTATCAACGACCTCACATTTCTGTTTATTTTACGAGCCTGAGAACAGGCCATATCATTGCAAATATCAAAAATACAAGTCTCTTGGTTGATAAGTTCACAGGTGTTCCCTTATTAATAATATATTATATCTACTTCTGCAAGACACAGAACAAACACAGCAGGAAATCTTCAAATGACACTTCCAGTGACAAGAAAAATGCATATCACTTCAAGATATAACCATCAGTGAGAGTATCAGCGTTTTTTTAACAGTTACAGTAACAACAACCAGCTGAACAGTGCAGCACATTTATTGCTCAACATGCAAAAACAAGTGTAGAAAACAAGTACACTTCCACAACACATAAAACAGCAACAACACTCCTCTAAGCGGCTAAACGACACTGACTTCAACAAAATGGGTTTAAAAAGTCACATCACAGGAGAACACAGCTGAACAGCAGCAGCTTTTCTTTATAATGAACACACAGTTTTATTTTTCAGGTACCTGAATACAAATGAAGACAGTTGCATCAGGCCATGCATCTGTGAGCTATAGTGAATGAATTTACAGTTTTCATGCATAATAAAAGACACCCTGCTATACATATGATGAGCACTAGGTGGCAGATTTTGCCCACTTTATACACAACTCCAGTCTGCCAAGGACTAAAATGTCAAGTCATGGCAGGGGACGAGGACAGGGAGAAGGGGGAGGCATGCATAGGGAGACATTACACAGGGTCGGGTATATTGCTTTTTGAAGAGTGTGCATGTATCCTTCAGTGTTTTGCAAGAAAAAAATATACATCCACAGACTTTTCAGGCATAGAAGCTAAACACAGAACTGTGGCCTCCGTCTCAGCTGTCACTCATTTTTCTTTTCCTCCTGACTGTCCTCGTCTCCATTGTGTCCTTGTCCATCTCTGTCTCCCTCCTTCACTTTCTCTTGTCCTTGTCTGTGATTACTTTCTTCCCAGCCTCCCTCTCCCCCATTTCCCACCTTCGCCCCCTTTTTCATTTACTCTGCCCTCTTCCTTCCCTCCCTCCTTCTGCCTTCCTTCCTTCCTCCTCCACCTCCTCCTCCTTCTTCTCCTCCTCCTCCTCCTCCTCCTCCTCCTCCTCCTCCTCTCTGCAGGGCAGCCGGAGAGAGACTGGCATTTCTCTGACAGCAGGAGGGGAATCGGCACCCGGCCTCAGCTCATGCTGGGAAAAGAGAGGGTGGGTGTGTCATGGCGGAGAGAGGTGTGTGTTTGAAGAAGTGTGTGTGTGTGTGTGTGTGTGTGTGTGTGTGTGTGTGTGTGTGTGTGTGTGTGTGTGTGTGTGTGTGTGTGTGTGTGTGTGTGTGTGTGTGTGAACGGAACCTCCACACGAGACCTGCCAACACTTGTCTGCTTCTCTCCGTGTGACGTCGACATCAAAACTCAAAAAAACCTCCTTGAATGTTCCCCTCGTTATTAATTCAACTGGTTGTTTCGCTGATTAATGAGCCAATTTAAATGCATTTATAGAGACGCGTAAAATAGTATACTTAGAAACTGGTCATTTAAAAATATGTGAGTGGCTGGAGATTTGACTGAGTAATGACTCAGAACAGGTGGGGGCTGCAGCAGTCAACATAAGTATGTACTGAGCCTTAAAACTCTTCTGCATGAATCATTTAATGACCATGTACAAATCTTTGATTTGAATAAAGAGAGGGGAGACAAGGCCAACAGCCTTTTCTTTAATTATGCTGTCTAACAATGTCCTAAGGATATCAGTAAAAATGCAAACTCTTACCCGTCTGTCCTCAAGAAGAGAAAGAAAACTACTTTCAAATAACTTATTTGTTAAACAGAGGTCTGACTGATCATTTCTGATGCATTTCTGTAAGTCAGGGAATCTCAACTGATGCTAAACCAAGCTTTTGTGACACAGCGTTGGGCAAGATGGCTGCTCAAGTTAATTTTTTTAAACAGGATTTTGTTGAGTGCACTTGAATGAGAACATCTGTTAGTAGCAATGACAAATCATTGTCAAATACAAACTGATGGGAGCCCAGATGTAAGGCAGATTGTGTTCCAGCTGCTTTTGCTCTCCATACCTGCTGTTTTTTTCCAGCAAAAAATCAACGACTGCTGACACACGATTGATCAAAACATCTAGGTCCACAATTGTTTAAGTTGCCAGAACACTTCCTAGGCTGGAAATCCAGATTTTACATTTATATGAAGCATCTGGATAAAGTCAAAAATAGTCAAACTGTCATGTGATTCTTTTAAAATCATATAAATGATAGAATTTCAGTTGCTGATCTCAAGTTATATAAGAAATTTAATATAAGGGGTGGCTTTGGCTCAGTGGGTAGAGTCGGTCGTCTCCCAAAAGGAGGTTTTGAGGTTTGATCCACATGCCTTAGTGTCTTTTGGCAGTGTGTGGTATGTTAGTGGAGTTAGTCTAAAACTGATGGGCTCTGCAAACAGCAGCGTCTGCCAGTGTGTGGATGTAAAGAGATGTTAAGCGTTTTGAGTGGCCAGAAGACAAGAGCGAGCACTTCACAAACATAGTCCATTTACCATACTGTATATGCTGGAGTGCATGTGCAAAATGTCCAGAGTCAAAATTACATAGATAGGACATTTTATACATGCGTTTAGTATTTGTTGATATTTTAATGCCAACTGCATAAAACTTTTGACTTGTAAACTAAGCAATCCTGGAATTCATTAAAGTGAAAAGTGCCATGCAAAAACACAGAGGTGTCATTAGTTTCCATTACATCAACAGCAGGAGCAGGGAGACGCCGACATGGCCTCTCACTAAAGTGTGCATTTTCTAAGAATCTAAAAACTTCTTCAAGATTTTAAATGACAAAGACAGAAAAATAACATCTGGGACGGAGAGAAAAGATTGTTTAGAGGGTTAGCTACCAGGTGGGGACATGGTACCATGTTTATGTTTTCCAGTGTTATCCCATTTTAAAAGATGCCATGCATAAAGGGTTCAAGCACATTTCTCATTGTACCTCATTTGTCTTCATAAACTGTCAGTGTCACTGCTGCTGCTCTAACTGCTAACTGTATTTAAGAGCAGACCAAACTATAAACAAGCCAAAAACAACTTTAAAGCCTCAGCATGCACCTGTCCCTTTCACCTCAGGCATTTTCTCTCCCTCCACAACCCCCCTGTCAATCCTCCAAATCCTCTAGGGGAGTCCCTCTTCTCAGTTTGAAAGCTTTAGGATCAAACTAACTGTTTTGGCAGCCTCCATTTTCAGTTTCAAGAGATTTGGCACAGCCTGAGGATAATGACGGTCGTAAAGAATAAATCACAAACACCTGTCCACATGGTGACCAATTACTCTGGAACAGTCCAGACTTGGCTGAAATCAGGCCCAAAGCACCTGATACAAGCTGCTCATCCAGGGTTTATGTGGGGACTAATCTTTAGTTTACTCTAGTGTCTGACACTTCTGGGACTCCTGCCAAATTTGACCGGTGTTAACACTTTGTCAGGACAGAATATTCATGAAGTCGTGTGATAAGAGGAGAAAGAGAAAGTTGCCTGTCTCTAAATGGTACAAGAGGGGAGGAGAGGGACAGTCATAGTTCAGTTTCACCGTCCTTCAAAGCCGCATATGTGAAGCGTAACAGGCTGAGTTCAGGAGGGAGAGCAGCAGGTGGGTCAGGAATGAGCGCCCACCGTGTCAGCGTAATGCACCTGTTTAGCTTTAGCGACGATAAGAGAGGAAGAGGGCGAGTCACGGGTTGATCCAGCTGCTCCTTTTAAGTGACAAATAACTGCAGGAGAGCTGAGTGTGGATGAGTAAAGGAGGAGGACAGAGAGAGAAACAGAGATGAGAGGCTGTGAATCGAGGCGTCAGGGGGTCAGATGTGTCGGTGTAGCTCCGGTAGCGGCGAGGAAGAGAGGGCTGGTCGCGGTTCAATTCCCCGGCTCTTCATGAAAGACAGCAGCTGGTCAGGGATCTCTGCGAGGACATCCTTAGCCAGCCGGGCCATGCTGAGGACCTGGTTGCCAGATCTGTCAATGTAGTCTCTGAATGGAACAAACTGGAAACAACAGGAAACATCATTAAGATCAAAAAACTGTGTTAAATGTTATGTTCATGCTCAGTCCGTAGAGCAGGTGCTCACTGTACAGAGGCTGGAGTCCTTGTTGCAGTGGACACCCTAGCCTTGACTATCATTCCCTACTAAAACTATCCATAAAAATTAGAGATGCTAGCTGTGAAGCTCTCTTGTTACAGAAATTACCAAAGACTTAATATTCTATGGACAACTTGGTTCCGCCTTCCGCCAGTATACAGATTTGAAGCCAAAAAGCTCTCAGTATTTCCGCCATTTCCCTCCATTTTCTGAAACCAACATTGCGCAGTAGCGTTGTACACACTCCACCACTTGCGCAGTAGCACTGTACGCATTCGGCGTGAGAGTCGCTGTTATGAAGCTCTGCTCAGACAGTGTATCCCCCGGGTGAGCTACGCAATCTTTGTATGCTCATAGGCTGTATCAAGTGTCAATCATAGAAAACATGAACCCCCTAATAACTTTTAAAAACAGAGCTATACAGAAAAAAGAGGACTTGAGCACAAACCAGTCTTACAGTAACTACATGTCAACATCATAGCCAGGGGAGAGAAAAAATTATATTCTGTGTGATTAATTTCTAAAGTTCCACAGCTCCAGAGGGATTACTAGAGAAGTCAGGATTTATGACCTATACTGCAGCCCGTCACCAGAGGGTGCTGTTCTCAGAGTGGCTTCAACCAGCGATGAGGCAGACTGTGTCCATTCTATATACAGTCTATGGAAATTACACATTTGATGCTTGCACTTTGTTACTAGCTGCATGTCAGGGGATTTGTTGAATTTGCTCAGCATAATGAAACCAAGCTTGTTAAACACCTATAGACCTCTATAAGTTTTGTAGCTTTTCAGTACTGTCAGTTAGATTCATTATGTTGCTATGAAAAAACAACCAATTAGGAAACAGGGATTGTTTTTGCCAAAAAAGAATCTTGAGTTTTTTTTCCTCTTACACTGAATCCCTTTATCTTCAATGTAATCTTGTTTTACTTGCTGTTTCTGTAATTCTTTATAACTTCCCACAAAGCATAAAGACAGAACATAAGGACACTGTGCTGTAACCCTCCTTTATTTGATGTGCTCTCAGGCAGTGTGTTAAATGATTGTGTTAACAGCTGCTTCAAGGTTTACCACCTCAGTTTTATTTCATTTGTGTTTAAGAGACCATTGACTCTGTGATATCTTAACAACAGTCCTTTTCAACAGTAAATAAACTGCGCTTAAACTGTGTCCTTGTAGGTTCCTCCACATTAATGTTGGACTGTGTATTCCATTAACCTCATTTACATAGACTGTTTAGGGTCGAGTAAGGACAGTTTAACACAGTGAGGTACCAACTTGATCTTAACATCAGTGGTTGACCCATTTAACCACAGCTGGCCTCCTTAAGCTGGCAGAACAGGAGCTGAATTGAATCTCTCCGTTTGCTTTTATTTGACCTTGTCCTTCTTCAGACTGAAGACAATATTCAGCCCAGACTGGCCATGGCAGAAATGTTGCTAGAATGTTAATATATCTTATTTTATAAAACAGCTGTCATGACCACAAAACCTATGAAATACAGTCAAAAAGAGGAATTTGTACATTTATATACATGCAAACTAACAAAAATACTTCAATTATTTTTAATTTATTTACCAGGCAGCTATGCACTGGTGACACCATGCTTAGGGTGGAAAGCTCAAATACTGTCATGGTGTTGGACAACTGTGTTTCCATTGTATGTCAAATAAAATAAATGTAAGTATCTGATGAATCATCATTATTAGAAGTGGTGGAACAATACATGGACACAGGGGGCAGCTCAGGTCTAAATGCCCCCCATAGGAGCTTCCATCCTATCAGTGGGCCACCCAGGTCCAAATACCCCTCCATGTATAGAGGCTTCTGTCCTCACAGGAGGCTGCCCAGGTAAAAATGCCCATCAGAGTTAAAAGGCAACTATTTTCCCAGGAGGCCGTCTGGGTCCAAATGTCCCTCATGTATTGAGGCTACCATCCTCACAGCAGGCTGCCAAGGTCTACATGCTCCATGTATAGAAACTCCTGTCTTTACGGTAGGCCACTGAGGTACAAATGCCCCTGCAGGGTTTGTTGGTTACCATCTTCCCAAGAGACTGCCAAGGTCCAACTGTCCCCAAGTATCAAGGATACCAGTCTCACAGTAGCCCACCCAGGTTCAAATGCCCCCCATGTCTAGAAGCTCCAGTCCTATTATGTTGAATCGTTTGGTCAGCCATCGTTTTCAGTTTATATGAAGGTACCAACACTGTATCTCTGGTACAGGCAGGGGTCCACTGAATACATATAAAGGTAATGTTTTTAAAAAACTGTCCCTCAGTTTATGTTATTCAGATTAAATCTAATGAGAGCCATCAGACCTGAACTAACGTCAGGATAAAATAATCAATCATGCTTTAGTGAAGGAAGTCATCACATTGAATCAATACCTGAGAATGCATTGACATGTAAACAGATCGAATTCTGCATCAGGTGTAAACATCCCCATGCAGTCATTGTCATTATAAGGTTGAAGGCAATTAAGGGAAAACTGTAAGCACACAAATATGATTTCTGCTGTCAGTTAAACGGACTGAATGGACAGGACTGTGTACACATGGCTGCATTATTTTCACCGCCTGAGATTGAAAAGCATTAATTATCCAGTTATTAACCTTGTGTGAAGGCAACTTGCAGATGGTGACACCTGGGTTTCAGGACTAAACAAGGCAAAAAATTAATTAACCTTAAAGTACTCAGTAATTTCTTATGTCATTTCTATTGTTATCTTGCAAATAAAGCCACAGAGTTAAATTTCTGCTATTTTCTCTCAACTTTGAGGCACTTAAATTTATCAAGGTAAATGCTCATTTATCATTGTACCTTCTGCTGACTGGCTCTTCTTCAGCACTGTACAAACACTGTTATCAGAGGTGCTGGCGTTTGCTTCCTATTTGTGTTCCCATATCTCTAAAAGAGTTTCTAAAATTGCAGTTTGCTGTTGCCAGATCTGTTTTCATCAGCCCCCTGACGGGGTTGCAGCTCGCCTCGCTCCTTATAAACAAACTCTGCAAAACTTTGAGAAAAAAGCTGCTCTCTCTGGTTATGGTGAAAGACGATAATGAAGAAAATGTCTCTAAGGGCATACGAGATAACTAAATGTCTACTTTGTTCAGACGCTTTTTATAGTGACCATTAAAATGTGTCAGGCCATAAAATACCATCTCTTATTGTTAGTGAGTGCAATCTTTTTACATAAAGTATGATCAGCTTCAATAAAGATACCAACAAAGCCACAGGAAAGGGACTCATCCAGTCCTGGCTTTGAAATTTATCCGAATTAGACTTTGTCTTTGTGATGTTCCAAACTTTTGTTCAAGACTGAGCTAACTTTGAGCCAAAATATCCAAGTTTTATTATTCCACAAGAGAGAAAGCTTGGACAGAATTTCAGGGACAAAATATTACGAAAATGTTAAAGTAATTAAACTTCCAATTCTTAAAAGGTTTTTAACTGTTGACATTATTTTTACTTGATTTGTTCAGTCTAATCAGTGATTTAAGATCACCAAGGTGTCCGCATCAAATCATTTGCTTCACAGTTTAAAAGAAAAACAGAAATGTTAAATTGAAACCTGTTGTGAGGAACTTGTAAGGGAGTCAGTCTTTCTGTGGCCACTATGGCTATATTTATTTATTTTTCGGGCTCAGGGTGAGGCCCCAAATGCCCTCAAGTCCCAGAATAACCCCTGAAAAGACACAGTGAACAGACACTTTATGCCCTGTGCTCTCAGCTGCATCCTCATTTCAATGATTTATAGTTTATCCTTGCTTGCACACATCTTAGACTGCTAAATATGCTCTTTATAGAATCTCCAAACTCAGATTAAATAAGGTAAGGACGCAGAGATATTAACAATCATAACAGCAAAAAAGCAGCAAATGTGAAACAGTTAACAGTCGGTTGTGTATTTGATTTCAAAATTATGCATCAGGACAAATTTATGAAAAACTATGAGAAGAAAGAGGCAGAGATGTTTGGTACCAATTGTGGCCGATAAATGACACAGTAACTTTTGCGCCCCTCAGTCTCTTACAGGAATATATCTAAATGCTGACAGTTTACATGCTCATGTGAGGAAAATATGATGACTTTTATATGTCCAGCACCACGCCCCCCTAAAACAGCTTCAACTCATCATTGTCTTATTAATAAAAACAAAGTGTATCTTTGTTAATTTCATTATTAATGATGTATTTTAGCTCTTTATCATCTTGTCTTCATCATAGATAAGACAGGATGTTGTTGATGAACATTTGTTGTAAATTAATCTAGTTTAGTCAAAATCTGAATTTCTGTATAAATGGTTTTAAAATTAGCTGCCTTTGAATGCCTCTGGTGTGACATATTACCAAACAGGACTCACAAACAGGATCCCTCAAATGGAAAGGCTCATTTTAACATAAAGTGCAAAGAGAGAACACATTAAACTTTATAAGTTTCCAATATATATCAAAGTGTGATCTATTTCTTATTTCAGCCTTAAAGTTTCACTTGGCACCACAAACAGAATTTCAATCAAGAGGAAAAATTGAACATCGACTGCAAAGAGAAAAAAAAGCTTTAACTCTGCGAGTTCAGGGCGTGGTCAGTTTGATGTTGTTCTAACTTTGGCTGCTAAGTTTCATTTAGAAGAGAGTGGATTTCCAAATCTGCAGACTTGTCTATACACTGTAGACTTCAGAGAGAGAGAGGGACTGGGACTCTCAGTGTTTATATGAATGGAGGCTATCCTCTTGTGGGAATAACTCCTCGGTGCTGTTGCTGCTGTAGACAGACACACACTCAAGTCCAAACCTGCAAGTTAAATAGATTTTAGATGAGTACCTGAACGATGTCCCTCTCTGCAAAACGTCCTCTGGAGGACACTCGCACCTCATCTCCATCCAGCTCCTCCATGGCTGAAAGTGCAGACAGAGACAGAGTGAAGGATTCAATACCAGCCGTCACAGGAGGATCTTTAGTAATGTCATGATGTTATCACAGGTGTCGAGCACAGCTTGAGCATTAAGTTCAGGTATTACAGGTAGGTTATTTTTGTGTGATTTTAATGTGTAGAGCTTCTGATCACATTGAACCAGGTTCTATTTAGCGTAAATGATGCACAATATCTCCTCTGATCTTCTTTGTCCTCTCCAAATCTCTATTACTCTGAATTGAAGCTTGAAGAAACAGAGAAGTGAACTATTTTCACACTCTTCTCTGATGGACACACTGAGTCATGCTGAACAACACTGTGCATCTGTAGACACTCTGGCAGACACACAAAAAGCCTGAATGTGTGAGGCTGCCATGGAAAGTTGGCTGAGCACAACGTAGGTCAAATCATCGACAGACAAACACAGAACCAGAAAAACTGCAGAGCAAACACAAGAACTGACAGAAATATCTGAGGGTGACATGTTAGGAGCTGAAAACGGTCAGAAAAACATGTTCACAGACTGGAGCTGGTACTAATGTGTAGACGTGCAAAAGCAACAACACAATGAGGTTTTTTGACACTTGTTTGACCTTGAGACCTCCAAACATGTCAAAGTGCTCCTGCTACTCTGACAACAAGGGATCAAGTCATCACATTATGCAGTAACATACTGCAAGCACGCACAAAAATAGCCTCCATTAAAAAGTCAATGACCTGAAGGCTGATCAGGAACTTTTACATGCAGGTAAAAAAACAGACTGCTGTATTTCAGGAACCGATTCAATGAAAGCTGAAGACAGTTTTTTGATTGCTCACAAGGGTTGCATCAAGTCCTGGCTCAAAGCCCCTGTGAGGCGTTTTGAGCCAATTTAGTGACACATTTGAGTAGTAAAATAGAGCAGGAAGATGTACTTTGTTGAAAAAAAATAGCTCTACTAGCACGGTAAAAATTCAGCAGAGAAAATGAATGTACAGCTTGATCCACAGGGGGCACTCAAATAGACACAAGCTGAATGTTCCTAACAGGAAGTTTTGCATGAATGTTGCTCGAATCTCAAAAGTAACTGGAAAACATTGTTGTGGTGCTGGTCTGATGATCTATGTGCCAGAAGGAAGTGGTTCAGATTTACATTTCCATTGCAGGGTACAAATGCATTATGCTGTGCAAATGTATGCGTGTATGAAAATGACCAAGTGTGTACCCTTGATAGCGCTATGACATGCAAAGGGGGAGAAAAAAAAGTATTGATGAGCTGTATGAATGCATCAGTGTGTGTGTGTCTTTGTTTCTGTGCATGCACAATTTGTCACAATAAACTTTTTCTAACAATGTGAAGGTTGTTGATTTACATTTTAGATGTTCCCAGAAAGAGCACGATTAAGTGAGGCCGACATGGGAGCAGAGAACAATCTCTGTTTACTTTATCCAGTTTAAAGATGCCTCCTTCATTTGTCCTTGTTTTCAAACAGAAACTATGACTTCAATAAGGAGACTAAAGTGGATATAGATGAGGAGATGTGAAGCATTAGGAGGAGTGAAGGGAAAACTATGAGACCCTGACTTTAAGGTTTTGAGTCAGACAAACTATAAAGTTCAAACTGAACCAAGCAGCAATCATGATTAATGGAGTGGTTATATTGCCTGGAGATTTGGTATATGTGTACTTGCAGCAATTCACTATGAAAACGAAACTAAGAGTGTTTTTATCTTATTTTTGTTAAAAAGATATCTTATTAGATTTGATATAAGCAAAGTTCACCCAAGAAGTTTAAATATACTTCTTATTTCAGGACATTACAACCAAAAATTGAGGCTTAACTAATTGTAAGGAAGATACATCAGCCAATGGGGTGAGCAAAAGTTTCAAAAGAAAGAGTGAAGTTTTTAGAAACTAGAAATTTCCTTCTGGGAAATTTTGAAAGGGCCATGGGCGCTGCCGCCGGGGAGTGTGCTTCAAAATGAGATGCTTCAGAGATTTTAAATAACTAATATTATTAATATGGCTGTGATTTTATATACAAGGGACACACCTTCAATGATTATTCCTTTACCTTCAATAATTAATTGTTTTTTTTCCAATTATTTCTTTGCTTGTCCCATTGACCTAGGGGAAATTTTTTTTAAGTTTTAGGTGAAATATGTCGCAAAAAAAAAAAAAAAGGCCAAAAAAAAAAATTATCATACACAGAAGAGAATAATAGCACACCAGTCCCGATCAAAACACATATTTTGATGCATAATTTGTTCTACAACTCTTTAAGCCATTGCACGAGTAGCAAATCTAAATCTGTCCAGATGAGGTTCCTCACAAGGCATTATTGTATAGGGGCCTCCTGTAAAGTTTATAGTGTCTCTATTGTATAGGAGCCAGTGCCTTTGTGTGTTTTTCCCCCTCTGGCACTAATTAAGATTTTTAATGAGAGTCAGCTTTTAATTGTTGATAAAAGTCCTTTTAAAAGTGATCCAATGATGCAGTGATGTCAGAGAAGTCCCTGATTAGTGAATTGGTTTCAGCTGTGGGCCTGGCCTGAGGCTCACAGGTTGCCTCGACGATAGATGCACCACAGGCTGAGGCAGCCAAAACGCCCCCCAAAAAAGCTATTTTTTGCCACGGTGCTGGTATCATATCTGGGCTTATTCTGACAAAACAGTAGCTCCTATCAGAAAAAAGTAGGTCATTGTAAGGAGTTCCTGAGGGCTCTGCTATGATTTTGGTGTTTCTATAAAAAATAGTTTGGACATACTTGGAAGGTATAAACAGGAGTCCCTTCAGAAAATCTTTGCATTAGTGTCAATGAGGAGCAGAGAAAGAAACATTGCTGTACTTAGAGGCTCAGAATTTCAAATTCTGTAAGTCTCTCTGTTTAGATGAAAACATCATTAGAGACAGAACAAGTGTGTCCATAACTGTGGGAAAAAAACATGTATGTAGAGTGTTATTTGTGGCTGAAAAGAGCATGGAAAGAGAAAAGTTTCAGACAATTTCATGCAACTTCTCTCACTCTTGCCGATGATGTTAACCACTCTAGCATGAAGATACCACGCAATACACATCCATTATATTCTCTAAATTTATACAAAAATTATCATGGTCATTGAACAATGAGTGATCAAAAAGTACAATACCTATTGAAATGTGAATTAATACACCAATAGGCAAGACCCGTGTCTTTAAAGTTTAAATGTAGTCTCCAGTTGAAAGTATGCAGAGCCAGTAGATGTTTGAAAAACCCAAGTTTATTGCATCTTTAATCCTGCAACTGCTTTGAGGGAGTCAGCATGAACAGGAAGTCTCACACAGGAGCTTTAAGGAGTAAATTTAGCTCAGGGAGGCAGAAAAACACCTGTTATAACCATGTTACTAAAGTGAAAAAACTCACCATCAAACTCAGCAGGTCCAACACCCACAATAATGATAGACAGAGGAAGTGATGCTGCCTGTATCGAAGGAAAAGGGGAAAGGTTTAGTCAGTTTATGAGACCCCTCAGTTTATTAGAAGTATCCTGAAGTAATACAATATTAAAAGAAGGGTCCTGGTGCATTCAAAATAAGTGCAACAGTCCCACAATATTAAGTCTTGATATGTTTAGTCTGCACTGAACTAGCAGGTACGACTATGGCGCTTCAAAACAGTAAAACTATAACTTTTAAACATCTTTCATGCTGTAGCTCATCCAAACTGCCACAAAAGTTGCAGCATAAATTCTTCTTTTCCTCCAGATTTGATGCTTTTACATGTTCTAAATTGTAAGTGGTACAGAAGGCCAATAAAATCATATCTGAGTTTTCTTTCTAACCACCTCTGAAGGTACCTTGGATATGATTAAACTGTCACAGTCAAGGTTTTATCAATTAATGTGGACCCACTATATACATGCCATACACAGTTTTTGCTTCCAGTCTTATCAAGGTCTTTGAATAAATCTTACAAAGCAGATGGAACAGCTGGGTTTCATCAGCCAGATCAGCTTGCAAAGCGTCAAGTTTATATACTAGTTTCCAGTCAGTGAATGAACAGATCTAGTTTAAATTTCACGAAAACATATGAAAAGATGTCCCCAGAAATGTAAGAGAACTTCAGACACATTAGACATCTATTACCTTTAGCTTCTACTAGGCTCTATATACACTCAATGATTTTTCCCCCTTATCTCACTGTGTCAGAAGCTGGTCTAAACCTCTCTTAAACCATTATACACACTCTATGGAAGTAGTTGATGAAAAAAAAACAAAAAAAACCAGTGAGTTTAAGACAGATTGACACTCATAACTAGCTATGTCTAAATGGTACAGCTTACTGACAGATTAAAAGGGGGGAAAAGCTCTAAATAACCAACTTTTAATATCTGGAATTGCCTGTCGGTGGAGGAATCAATCAAGTACAACAGATTGGATCAGAGACCCGTTAAAGACTAATTTGATGGGTTATTATAACAACTTTGACCTCACTTTCAAAGTGAGATCAGACACAATAAAGATGCTTTTTTCTTGTTGTTAAGACAAAACTCTGAGCCTCTACTTTGTTCCTGGTGTATTACTCATCACAGGCTGCTGATTGCTGAGACAAATCAAACTGTTTTCATCCAAACATCAGAGAAATATAATGGAGCTTTGGCCGCCCACACACAAAGAAAACAAGGTGCTGAGATGAACATCAGTACCTGCAGAAATTGAGGAAAAAGCAGTGCTATCAATCAGTTTGTGTGCGTGTGCGCTTTTTGTTTTCGTGTGTGTGTGTGTGTGTGTGTGAGTGAGTGAGTTGGTGTGTTTGTTTACTCACGTTGACCACAGCCTCTTTGGTCTGGACCATGTCAGATATCACTCCATCTGTGATCATCAACAGGACGAAGTACTGAGAGCCGTCTGTAATCTCTGCTGCACAGCTGGGGACAGATATACACACAAACACACATATACACACACACAAACACAAACACAAAAGTGAAACCAGGTTAGAGCTGCTCTATGATTGTGAACCTCAGAAACAGACTACAAAGGGCCGCGCAACACACACCTGTCTGCTGGAGTTTATTATCCTGAGGTCTGTCTGGACTTTAACACACGCCTGAAGCGGATGTTGAAAGTGTAACACACAGTTTTTTGTTTGTTTGACACTGTGACCTTCCTCAAACTATCACACCAAAGGCCTTTTCTGACAGCAGGAACTTTTTCATAGCTGTAGGAACTGCAGGAACCCTCCCTTCTCTTTTATTGAGTATGCACCACAGGAACTACAAACTGTTTTTGGTCCTACAGCCCAAGTTTCTCCTTCAGAGTTATACCAACACAACACAATAGGGACTTTCAGGGATGTAAGTGCAGCAGTTGGTATATAAGTGTGTTTACACTGATTGGTCAAACTCTTGCAGAGATGAAATTTTACATGCAGTGATTCAGGGTGGCTTAATATGCAGTCTGTAATATTATTGCACAGTTGGTTGTCTATGAATAAGTAATTTTTGGTGTTACTTTCCTTTCTGTTTCAGTTTTCTTAGACATCTCTATGGTAGTCTTTCTAACTTCACTGCAGGAATGCAGCTTTGTGATTGCAGACAGTTTCTACACTGAGGAGATGGTAGAGAGGAGCTCGGCTCTAAAAGCAGAGTTCTGGTCATATGTATGCTGAGCGCTATCCTTAACGGTCAAACCATCTCAAGATCGTACACTGACTGTCATGTTGTGTAATGTGATAGGCTGTGGACTAGGGCTGGTCAATATGGCCTCAAATCACATATCACAAAACATTGAGCAGTTCACCTCGATAACAATTAATAGACAATAACTTCTCCACAAGCCCCTCACCCCCTCCCACATTAACTTTGTCTACTTCAGCCACTACCACTTTTGAACTGTCCTCCTTCTCCTCACCTGTCTTTCCCTCTTTGTTATGGACTGGATGGGGTGGAGTCACGTCTCCAATGTAAGACAGTGTCTTAAAGAGACATGAGACCATAGCCTCGAGACCATAACTTTTATTAAGTTGTAAATAGTTTTATTTTTCTTCTCCCTTTTTCCTTTTTCTAAAATTGTTTCCTAATTATTACATTTATTTAAGTTCTTAATATTACAATCTTTATTTTTATAACTGCATTTTTGCACTCTTTGTCTGTGATGCTGCTGTGATAAAAAAATTTTCCCCCATGGGAGATCAATAAAGGAATATTCTATTCTATTCTATTCTTATTTATTCATATTGTTGACACAGAATATATTGACATGGGCAAAATGACGTCAGTTATTGTTGTAAATTTCAATATCGGTAAATTTTGGGTTTATCGACCAGCCCTACTGTGGACCAATCTGACAACTCTCTGGAAGTTAACTCACCACCCATACGGCAATAGCGTCCAAACTCCTGTGCGTTTTTATGAAAGTTGTTTAAAGTTAGACCCATCTCTACTTTTACCGTCTATGTAACTTGACTTCTGATAACAGTGCGGGATAACCTGTCGTGTTATAGCTTCTGTATCACTTTACTGAGCTGTCTATACATCAAAACGACATTTCACAAAGTTTTGTGCAAAGTCACTAGTAGGCATCAGACCCTAATCCATTCAGACCTCCAGCCTACTCTGGTTATAGCCCAGCTTTTAGAGATTGTTGTAGGCAGCTGAAGCCTGCTGGTGAAAGCTCCTGCAGAGATAAAGTGCATCCCATCACTAGCATCACTACAGTTCATACAGCCATCACCACAGTAGTGCAAATGTAGACAGAAAAAACGTCTCAGTGAAATCCTCAGTGTATAGTCTCTTTTTTATGTCACCTCGATGTCCTCAAAAAGTCTCCTTTCTCCTCTTTACTTACTGAACTATCAAAATCCCAGAGATTTTGATACCCCCTAAAAGCCAGAAGCTGATACTTGCTGGAAAACAAATCTACAACACTGATAATTAAACTTTTTTTTTTTTTTGCTCCTGGGTTTCAGAGGGCAATAAAAAAAAACTTCAAATTGATCTCTTTCCTCAAACCTTGGCAGACTCTTTGTTCTGTGGTACTGTTCCCACGCCAGAGAGTTGTTTGTTTGTACCTGAAACAACAACCTTGAGCAGCAAAAAGCCCCTTACAAAAAAAAAATGAAATAACAAGCTCAGAAAAATATCTCATGCAGTAGAGATGTGACCCTGCTTCTTGTTTTTCTCTCTGCACTTCATTCCCTTGTTTCCAGCGTGGGTTCGATGAGAAAAACACTGATAAATACCTGCTTGGCTTGAGTTGACCCTGGATATGTTGAAAAAGAGTGTTTGAACGTGTGTGAGAGTCTTTGGTGTCTCCTTTACATGATGTTCATGCAAGAACAGAAAAATGAACAGTCAGAAACGTATATTTTCTGTCTGACACTGATTTCAAACTGTGTTCGGTGTCCATGCTGTAAGTGGGAATTAAAGTGGCGTGCTGGGACGTGTAGGAGCTCTTTTAACCTGTGAGGTTTTTCTTTCAAAGACTGAACCAGGCAGAGTCATGTAACAAGAAGATACTCTACAGAATTTTTCAAAACTATTGACAGAGTTTAAAAAAGGATTAACATGGGGATATTTATGTAGATTAGGGGTTCTGGATGTCAGTTTTAGTTATGTTTTTACTAATTGCTCAGCCTTACTTCAGCCTGTCTGTTCTCCTCCCAGCTGTTCTGTTGTAGCTGTCTGAGATGGCACCATATGTTTTAGTCCTTTCTGCAAGTAATATATTTTTTTAGTGTGGCTTAAACTGCTTGACACTGGCCCCGTAGTATCTGGAAGCACTGCAACATCTGGTCTGCACTGTGCAGAGATAAGGACAACAGTAACCGAGAACTTTTATTCACACATCTGAGCAGAGTCGAGCCGTTCAGTCCTATGAGAGTGTCTGTGTTATCTCACGTGCAGTCAAAACTTCTCTCCTCCAATAAAGAAGATTAAAGTCCCACTTCAATCATTTTTTTTACTACTTAAAGTGTTCTTAATGGTCTTCAAATTGTCATTATTAAGTTTTTAGCCAAAATCACATTACCTGTGTCATTTTCAAGGGCTTTTCTGCAGAGCTCCAGTAGCTCATTGGCAATTCACCTCTGAGTTGTGGGTGGAGACACACTAGCTTGCAGCCTTTCATTGCCAGTGTTGTAGAAGTGGCAGGTAACATTGGAGCTATTCAGCTCTCAGACACTAATGTCTTTAGGGACACGATTTCTTACAAGCATTGCAATCTGCTAACACACGCTTGTTCTGCGATCGTCCTCTGATCGTCTCCGAGAGTGGCCTGCATAGCGAGGCTCTGGGGGCGGAGTTTGGAGTTATGATGTAGAAAATCTTACTGTGTCTGAACCTGCTGTTTGGGTCTGTGAGAACTTCACAGCAATTTACATGCAGAAATACTCAGAAATGAAATGTCACACTTATTTTTCTCATGATATATCCTGTAGCATCAGAAAATGCCATATGAACATGTAGACAACAAGAAAACATGATTTTCATCAGAGTGGGTCTTTGAAGGAGTTGGACTTGTGCAGTAGACTTCAGTGATTTCACTCTGCTTTATTAGTGCTGATTGTCATTAAAGTTTGTATGATTAAAAAATAATTATTTATTTCAATTATTTTGCTACACATTATACATCTCGGCTGTGGCAAAAATACTGATAGTTATAAAAATGGAAAAACTGGATGTTGCAATTACCCTCAGAGATCCATGTCATGTTGCTTTATTCACCTGGGGAACAATTTAAAAGCAAATCCTTTAGTGTTGACATGTTTTCAATTGGCGATAATTGGTTAAAATCAATGACGAGAGCACTCCTTATAATACCTCTGTGTTTTGCATGTCAGGTGTTGGATGTTGGACTCATTATGGCTTCGATTTGCAAGTCTTACTTCCGTATTTGTCGGGGCTGTCAGCTTGACCACTTCAAGTATTTATATGTAAATATCAGGACAACAGAGGAATCCTAACATCATCAAGTTTAATGCCAAAAAGAAAACAATAACTATTTGAAACACTGGAAGTTTAGCAGAAAAATAAACAGTCTGTCAAGTTTTTCTCCTTTCTGAACTTGTCAGCGTTCCTGCTGAAATCTTTAACTCTGGTGCCACACCTTCAGGCATAAACAAAAAGGTGATTATCTGTCTGGATGCTGTAGCCTCTCTAATCCTGCATATGTGTACTCACCCCCTGCTGTTTAAATCTCATAAATTAAACAGAATCTGTAACCTGGTTAAATAAGGAGGACTCTCAGGAGTCAGGTCATTAATAAGATTTGATTATGACCAAGTAGGAGAAAAAACTAGTTGATCTTGATTGAGTGAAAACAAACAGGCACTCTTGGTCTGAGAGGTCGTACTTACTTTGCCACTTTGTTGATGACAGGAGCAAAGTTTGTGGGTCCGTACAGCTGCACCGTCCTCAGGCTCTGGAAATACGCCTCCAGGACTCCCTCTATACCCACACAGTTTGCATTTTCATCATCCCCCCCCTGCAAAACGCAGCAAGCAGACAGACACGCTAGTCAACCCAGTGTGCAACATGTACAAAGAAATCCTGACTGTGTAACACCACAGGTGGTCAACACTCAAAAAGTTACGAGTAAGAAACTTTAAAGGTCACCACTGACTGGAGCTCAACTATGAAGAATAGATTCAAACCACCAGGCAACTTGGCTGTGAGTCTGCTGAGAAATACTGGTCTCTATGCAGAGCAACTGATAAGTTCACGCAAACACGACTGCCAAATGCATATTTGGTTTGTGTAGTGGGTGTTAACATCAGAGGCAGAATAAAGGACTCTTAAGAGGTTTTAAATTGATACTGAAGAGCTCTGTGTTGTACCCCTGACACTCTGAATAAATGAAAGGGTTAGTTAAATAGCTGTGAACAAAATGAACAGTTCAGCAGAAAAACCTCTGCCTCTGCAAAGTCAAACCAAATGCCACACAGAGCATATATGTAAATTATGACTGGGTGAAACAGTATTATCAGCAGACAATTACATTTTTTACAATTAATGTCCAATCATCATTTCATTCAAGTTTGAGGGTCGACCTTTGCCCCTGACTGAAACTCGGAGAAACCAGATGATTTATAAACTCTCATCTGGGATCAGGTTCTTGGAAAAAAGATTTTTTCATCAGAAGAAGAATGTCTTTTGCATGAAAGAGAATTATGGCCATGAGAAGAGAAAAGAATAATTACAGAGAGAGATTTTTTAATTTCCATTTCAAGATCAGAGTAGAAATTTTGAGATTAAAGCTGAAATTTTAACAATTTGAAATGACAAAAAAAAAACAAAACAAAAAAACGCATTTTGCACGAAGGTGGCAACCTCCTCCAAGTTTGTCTGTTTTTTTTCTTTTGTAGAGTCATAATCTTCGGCACAGTCTTTTCAGAGTCCAAATACTAATGACCACACTGTGTATGTGTGCTAAAAGAGCGAGGATTTCCTTGTCACTAAATCGAATTCTTAAGTACAGTTTTAAAAACTCTTCTACAGAGGACATATTGTCGAGTGACGAGCAACAATGCTGTTGATTCATTATCATTAATCTCAACATTATGACTTTTTTCATGAAATTTCGTCTTTATTTGTGACGACTTTAATCTCGAAATTTTAATTTGTTTTAATCTCGAAATTTCAAAATTATTTAAGACATTTTGACATTTTTCAATCTTGAAATTTCGACCTTAACCTCGACATTTCAATTTTTAATCTCAAAATTTTGACTTTGTTGACATAATTTAGTTTTTTTTAATCTTGAAATTTCGAGATTGAGTCAAAATTTCAAGATTTAATCTTCTTCCTGTAAATATTTTTTTTCTCTTCATGTGGCCCTAATCCTGTCTTACTTTTGCAATGAAACACGCAATTAAAAAAGAAAAAAAAAACATAAATTTGACTTCTTGAGGTGTTTCTGTCAAGCAGCTAGATTAATTCGGATGAGTTAAAAGAGAGTTGGCTTCATCTGAGCTCCAGCGGTTTCTGACGAGTTGCCCTGATCCCTCAGGAGGATGCGAGGAGGAAGAGGAGGATGCAGGGAGCTTCCTGCTGGCAGGGAGATGAGCCAACTTCTCAACCACTGTGACCAGCTGTTGTCGCAGCAATTTCCTCTGCTCCAAACCACACCCGGCTGCAGGTGGACGCAGTGTGTGTGTTTCAGGTGTGTGTTTGTGGGTCTTACCAGTGGGAAGGCGTGGGAGATTTTGCCATCAGGGGGCAGCTTAGCTCCAAAACCATAGGCAGGGAAGAGCTTGTCGCTGTCGTAGTCCTGGATAATCTCTCCCACTGCTTTCAGAGCCATGGCATAGGCATTCATCTGGTAGGGGCTCATATAGTGGAGGGAGGTGGGCTGGGAGGGGTTACCTTGGAAGGAGACACGCAAAATACAATAAAATTCATGATTATATATACTGTGTGTCCTTTCTTCCTTCTGCAGGATTTTCACATGTGGAGGCTTCCCAGAAATGGTGTTGACGTAACTCTCACTCACATGAGAATGAGACTCTCCTTCAGCGTGATGGAGCACCCTGCTTTAAAGGAAATGACAGGAGGGGGCTAATTTGATTAGAGACAGAGGATGCCTGCTCCTTACACCCCACCCGATAATGTATTCCCTCTAATTCCATCAAGCTTCCCGTCTCCTGCAGGTGTACGCTCCTCCAGCCGTAGGAAAAATAAGATGAAACCACCACACCCCGAGGAACCTTGCACGGTCGACTGCACTTTCCAGCACATCAAAGTAAAAGCTCACTGAAACAACCTCACTGTAAAAACTGTCTCTGGGTACATACATGCTTACTTCACGATATCACCATGTGGCCACAGTTTTGGATTTTCCATATTCCGTTAGCTTTTTTTCATCAAGTTCAGTCAAAAGGTGTTTAGACACGAGCAGCAAGCAGAAGTAACTGATCAAAATTTCAGAAAAAAAGCCAAAAAGGATCTTAAAGTTACGTCTGCAAAGAAAGAAGGAGGTTTTGAGCAGAAAGCCTAAAAGTCTTCTAAGGTTACTGTGATTCATAAGGTTCAAGCAGGATCCACATTACAGCGACTCTGCATACTAACCACCTATATCAATAACATATTGGTGGTATATTGGTGTTTTGATGCTAAGGAGCTCTTGACATTGAATGGATGTGTTAAGTGTTTAGCAGAGTCTTCGCCTGCAGAAAGAAACAGATTTTTTTTGGTCTAATGAGCCAAATGAATGAACAAACACTGGAGAAGCTCGCCCGGTATTGCCCAAGGCTCAAACATAAACCCACTTACACCTCCAAAGCTTACTAATGAGGTTGTTTTATCTGGTTTATTTAATCCCTACACAAACAGAAATGAATATTGATGAACTCTTATTTCCTTAGCATCCATCATTTATAGTGGCTCTAAAAAAAAATTATTCATTCATCTTTGGCAGATAATTTCAGCTTTCTGCCACATGTCAGATTCTTCAGTTTGATATGTCTGAGCAGTCACATCTTGCCCATTTGTGTTTTAATGTAGTCACAGAAATGCATGCAATGACTCACTGCAGAAGGTTATAATGTCTTCAAATCATCTTTATTTACAGTGGTTAGTAAAGAGCTTTAAATCGCAAATACAGCTGTAGTCACAAGCAAAGGCTGGACTACACAAAAGGACTTTCATCAAGGTAACCAGAGTTCAAATCCTGTAAAAGACAAGATAATGACGCTTATTTCCTTTCATTTATGCTCCTATCTTACATCATGTATGTTCAGTACATACATATTGAACTTAATTGATGTGAGAAAAGTTCAGTATTCTCACTAGACCCATCTTTCTTAACCTTGTCAGGTAGTTTTGGTCTTTTAACTTGACAAAACTGCATTTGTTTCCCTCATATAAATCCCAACAGTGATCAAAAATTATCCCCCAGCTCCGTCAAGAGCTTGATTCTGATTGGTGAAAGGTCCAGGACAATGCAAATTAAATCTCAGCAGCAAGAGGTCAAAAATCACACACCTCAGAATAGAAACAATCTGTGTAAGTAATAGGGATGAGAATCAGTTCTTTTTTTAGAACCGGTTCCCAGTGATTCAGTTCGATTCCTAAGAATTGTTTGTCTGCCTCCTTAACGATTCAGCTTATCGGTTCCTGTTACGTCTCTATACGTGATGACGTAGTACGTGAGAAGTGTATTTTGGTTCAGAACTTTCCGCCACGGCATCGTGGCAAAAGCACTCTAGAGTTTGGCTGTTTTTCACACGAAAAGATGATACCTGGGCTACTTGCAACACTTTGCCCTCTTTCCTCAAAGGGGGGAAAAAAATTGCAGCGGGTAGCTCTTGTACACCATTGGCAGGGAAGAGTAAAATGACAGAGGCGAAGATAAATAAATGTAACCGAGCTATGACCAGATTTGTGGTCAAAGTGTAGGTCACATAACAAATTATTAGTGCATGAATATGCCATATCTTCTGTCCAAATGTGACAATATTAGAGTTAATGAGAACAAACCCATTTGTATTATTTTATTTCTCACTCAATGAGAATCGATAAGAGAATCCTTAAGGAATCGTATTGATAAGCAGTATTGATAATGGAATCGGAATCGCTAAATTCTTAACAATTTCCATCCCTAATAAGTAGTGAGGCACACTTCACCTCTGCCTGTTGATGATGTGGCAAAAATGTTAGTTTCCATCTTAGGGTGGTTTTAGGGGAATTCAAGTTAATGTGCACAGATGGAAGAGAAGCTCCTTAACTCATAACTCATCGTGTTTTGTCAGCATATGAAGGTCCTGCTCAGCCTGTTGGGATTCTAACTCACATAACCACCCGTTCACCCAACATTGTCCCTCTTCTCCTTCTTCTTCTCTTCTCCTTTCCTCAATTTGCCAAAAGCCAAAACACAATACCAGGTTTGGAAGTTTGTTGTCTTATCATGTAACTTTGTACCATCAATTTATAAAATGTGTGTGCAAAACACAACAGATAAAAATTAAGAGGATGCTCCTGGAAAAACCTTACTTACCATTGGAGGCTGTGAAGTCGATGGCCACGGTGAAGTTCAGTTGTGTTCTGTTGAAAAAATAATAATAAAATCAAAGAGGAAAACAAAGATCACAGGCTTCATTGTAGTTTCTCCAACACAGGAGCACAATCAGCTCCAATAAAGTCTGTTTACTGGTTAATTAGTATGGTTGGACGCTGCTCCCTCCACCATCTTAAAGGTCTAATTAGACAAACAATAATGAATCGTGAACAAACTGAGTGAACGAGGTGTTTATAAAGATTTACTGGAGTGAACTCCCTGCTTATTTTTACAGATTCAGAGCTCACATGAATTCTGTACACTGTTAACAAAAACAGCTTTTGGGAAATTCAATTTAGTGCCTTAAGACACATATACACAAACACACACAAACACGAACACATACACACACCTCGTGAGACAAACAACCGAAATGGAGGCGGTTGACACCGACTCCAAGGGCAGGCTAATTATTATTCCACTCACCCTCCTCGGATGAAATCCACGAAGGTATACTCGGACTCCACTTTGAAGGACAGCAGAGTTACCTGGCAGACACACACACAAACACACACATGCACGCACACACACATGCACACACACACACACACACACACACACACACACACACACACACACACACACACACACACACACACACACACACACACACACACACACACACACACACAGTGATAAACAGAAAGGGAGAGTGAAAAAATAAGACCAGGGCCAGGTAGACAGGAAGGAAAAAGACAAGCAGGTGGCCAGACAGCAAAAAAGCTAGAGAGGGAGAAACAGATGTAAGAGGTGAGGGTACCTTTATATGAATAATGAATAAATAAATAAATAAATAAATCAGATGGAAAACCACCACAGGAGAGATGACACTGCAGCGGCGGGCAAACTCACCGTCCCAGAATTTACATATTTCTTCTTCTTTCCTTTCTTCTTTGGATTTAAAACCTGCCAGTGATTGGGGAAATAAGTTAGGGACTGAGAGAGCACTTGTAGAACCACTTCATATCCTGAAATGATGTTTAATAGGGAACATGAATTATTCAGTGTATTCCTGATGGCACTGGCAGTCCATGAATTGAGACTGATATTATGTTTAACTGTGTGAATAAAGATGATAGAGTGGATAAAAATGGAATCTGAGAGGTTAAGAGATTAAACTATTCATTCATCCTCCATCCATCTATCTATCCATCTATCCATCCACTGCCATTACCAAACTGATAATTAAACACTCCTCATTCTTAAAGAAAAGATAATTATTGCAGACTTCAATGATTTCAACCGGAGGCTCATTAATTGATTTGTCTGCAATTACACTTTACCTTCAATGACATTGTAAAGCTGCACTGATGTTGAACAATAACCCTTTAGGACTTTTACATTGTCGGAGTTTATATTAACTTCAGTATTTTAATGGAACCAGATTCATTTTTAGCCATAATGGTGCATTCCAGTTGTACTTGGAAGTCAAAATTTTCAAGCTCTGAGTTAGAAATTAATCTGGAACGCACCCCTTAAGTCGGATTTCCAACTCGGAAAGTTGGATGATCCTCACCAATCCCGACTTAATGACAACACAGTGCATCAACAGTTAAGAGTAACAGTGAAAGCTCTCTTAATTTATTAGCACTTCTGCTTTGTTTTTGTGAATTAAATAAGTCGTATATGTTGTACTGCCCAACTTCTAACTGTGAACATGGTGTTATGGTATTTGTAAGAGTAAAATACTGTTATGTGTTGTTTACAGCCGGTATAGCTAACATTCGCGAACAAAAGCTGACAACGGCTAACTGTAGGCGTCAATCTTGGTTTTCCAACTTGTAAACTGAAATCCTGTCAACTCTGGAGTAACGTCATTTCTCTCAAATATGCTTTCTGCCACAACATTGAGTTAGGGCTCTCACGATGTACAGTAATTATTGATAACCATTTACAAGCTAGCCTTTTCTGCAGTGTGTTGCTTCCAATATAGAGCAAATCATGTCAGAGATGACGAATGAAAACCTCCAACCACACCCACCTCTGCCTTGACCAAACAGTGGATTTTATTGTAATATAACCTTAAGATGTGAAACATACTTTTGTTACCTATTGTATTGTTGAGGTTAAGTTGTATGTTACTTTTGTGTGTTGGATCACTCTACAGGTCCTTCCACACTTGGACCGACGCAAATATCCGACATGAAATTACGAAATATTCCGAGGCGAATCTTGACACGCCTGACTATACACATCAAGCCTGATGCGACTTTGCGACTTTCCGGGGGGAAAAAAAGACGCGGCCAGTACCAGATAAGCACATTAAACTATGATCCATAAACGCAAGGTAACAACTGAGACCTAATGGTGCTGTGACAGCAATGCGATTGAGTTTGAGACAGTGAAAATACATATGGTATGTTGTATGAACAGGTTAGCTGATGAGCTAAAGTTACGTTAGCACTGGTGAAAGTTAAAACAAAGACGTTTAGCAAACTGTTAAAGCACACAAACTATCCTTCAGGTTGTTATCTTTGTAATGTTTGTGTTTTTTTATCAAAAAGCACTCTGTTCTCCGACACGTAAACAATCAGCCGGTCTGCCACGTTGGATATACCGGTGAATCAGACGTCGCAACAACACGCAATCTGATTGGTCAGAAGTGGACACACAGTATGTGAAACTTAAGAAAAATCGACCTTGATCTGAAAAAATAAATGCCGCAATATCACAGGACGGGAAAACGTCGCTGATTTGAACACTTGTATTGACAGGATACGGGTTCGAAAAAAAATATTGACGTCTGACTTCACAGTGTACGGGACCGAACAAGCAAAGCCTCTCTAGTGCACAAGGGGGTGCCAAAATTCAAACCAAGAGTCCCCCACAGGAGCTTTAAGGTGTTTTGTGTGGGAATAATGATTATCTTTCTCACTGTTATAGGTCTCAATCACTATAAACCTTAGTTTGAAATGACTGTCTTTAGCATGCTGTTTATCACCTTATTTGCCACCTACCTGTCAGTCATGTTTTCACAAATTAATATGATCAAAGAGGAATTATAAATCTTCTTGATCTTGGTCTTTTTCAGAGTCAAATTCTGTTCCTTTTATAACTAGTTTACAGCTCCGCACGGGTACTCTGGTAAAGTCAAGAGGGTTGGGGAGAGTTTGTCCACCTCTGGAGAAATACCAAACTGATGCTAAAATATCAGGAATCACCTAAAACACTGTTACACAAGATCTAGAAAGGCTGTGAGAAACAGCAAACCACCCCCTCGTGTCTCACCTCGTACACGTTGAACTGGTTCTGCCCCCGAGACAACTCTCTGTAGCTGGTGGTGAACTCACCGATGAAGTCATGGCTGCAGACAAACAGCACCCACACAGAGGGGAAGGCATGAACACATGTTTTACAATCAGAGACTAATGGTCATGTCTCTTTCTGTTTCCCTCTGCATCGTTTGGTCTGTCTTTGTTATCCTGCCAATCTTCCAGAGTCTGAAGCAACCCTCTCTTTTTACTGCTGATGCTTCATGGCTTTGTGACACACGTTCTCCTAAAATGTTCTCTCACAGAAGTTAAATTAAATTTTCTTTTAGATATTTATAACATCATTGTGTGTGATAAGAATAAAGTGGGATGATTTTACCTTCCATCTCGATCCCAGTCATAGACGTCCACCTTTACAGTCCTGAAAGACAAGGACAAGTTCTTTCTGAGATTTGATTTCTTTTTACTGGATCTAAAAGTTCTATTTCATTCATTACAAAAACTCTCTTCCGTCCATCACAATGGGAACAAAGCAATTACATATCCACTGATACAGCGGTGCAACACTGAGGAGGATTATTTGCGCAGCAGGTAGGAGTTATTATGAACTTCAAATTACACGCTCCATCTATGCTCAGACAAGTTTCCAGACAGTGAATTTCATTAATTCCAAACGTAGAAGAGAAATATGAACAAGAGCTTAGTTTCCAATGCAGTCCCATCAATTCCAGCCTGATAAAGTGTACTCTGTTTGTTGTTGGGCTGTGAGGAATGAATCTTCATTTGGTTTAAATGTCACAGGTAGGCTCATGAAAAGTCATTAGCATAGATAGTGGGGGATTTGCAGTCGTGCTTCTCTGTAAAGACCCAAAAGGTTTGCCCTTATTATTCTCTGTCTTTAACAGAAGTTTATTTCCCTGTCTCTTTCTGTCTGCAGTAAGCAAAAATTAACTTCAACAACCACAGGTTATTTTCCCAAAAAAGTTTAAAAGTTTACTTTTTTCTTAACTGAATAATAGTGAATGTTAAGTTAAGCTTTCCTTCCCTCCTTCCTTCCTTCCACTCACCAAATTTACACATGCATCACAGGTGGCAAAATTTTGATATTTTTCTTGTGCTCAAAGTCTACAAAGTTTGCCACAAAAATCCCAACATTTTTTGTCGACATGCATGACAATTGCTACTCATACGCATCATGCCAAAGCCGACTTGTCCTTTCTTTTTAGTGAAATATCATCTGGAAGTCCAACATTGTGCTTTAAATGTCTAATTTTACAATGTTTTTGGGCAGTTTATAGGCTAAACAAACTTAGTCTAGGATTTTATTCTTTAAAATCTTTCTTTCACCAGTGCATTGGCGACACATTGTTTTAAGTTACAAAAGGAAGGGGTGTATTTCTGGCAGCTTGTGGTACCACAAATGGTTGGAACGAACTAATACCAACTCTATATAATCTGCTCCGAATTTGACAATAGTTTGGTGACAGTCTTAGCCTCACCTTATCTCCATTAACACTTCTGTAAAGGTATTTGTACCATCTATTGCAAACAAGCAGTACCCTAAAACAGTTCTGGATAGGCCAACATTTAGATTCAGTTCATGGTGAGACCAACAGTCACTGGTATACAGACACAGTTGCAACACAGCCCACTGTGTGCAAAAGTGACAGGGCCATACATTTTTGTCATTTCTTTTTTTGTACGACTTTCGTGCCACCTGCTAAAAGATTACAGAAACTATAGATTTGTATATATAGATATATAGATAGATAAACTGCTTGCTAGACCTTCAGACAAAGAGAGCTTTTGCTTGTGAGGTATTTGACTCAATCAAATTTAAGCCAATGCAGCGTTAACAGCAAACTAAACTAGTCATGACGTTAGGGACGTGTTAAAAAATAACTTTGAAGGTAACCTGTCCTGAAATTTTTTGAAGTTTTAGGGGTGCAGGACTGTTTATTCAAATGCGCATAGTCCTTCATTTGTACAACATCATATCACATGCACTGAATGCTTTAGTGATCGGATGCAAAACTTCGCCCCTGGGGAATGCCTGATACACTTTGAACCATGCTTGCTAAAAACGTACAGCCTCAGGTTGCTTAGAAAATACCTGAACCATTTTCACAAAAAACAAACACGACAGTGTTTTTGGAATACGGATGTAAGGAGGCAATAACCACAAAAAAGTCCCCTGGAAAGGTTTAATTTTGGCATACACTAAATGTGAAGGGTTAATAAGTAATTTTACAAGATGAAACAGGGATGCAAAAAGCATTATAAGTTCCTATTAGAGCTCAAGTGGTATTGTGTTTTGTACAGTGTGCATAAACCGGCAGCTGTCACTGCCATTTACCTCAGTCTGACCTGGATATGAATGTTTAATAGAGCGGTTTAAAACTGAGTCAGTCTCAATAACACCAGTGCTGGTCTCTGGGACACCATGACCGACTGCTGGCATTATTCTGACCGCCCCAGCAACAGGTGATGTCATCCTCAGGTCTGCGCTCTAATTATTCTCCTGCCTCAGTGAATGAGACAATAGTGTAAAGGCAGTGTCATTACTGTGCAGATTAACATCTGTGCTCTTCCATATATCCTTCTCTAAATGCTCGCAATTAAGATGCATAATAGATTAGTGCAAAATGATTCCTGACCTGTCGTAGTCCCCGTTGCAGAGAGCTCTAACAGGGATGGTGAAGGACTGCCACACTGGGTTCAGTGTGTTCTTGATCACTTCTGTTTTGTGGCAGATGGTGAACCTGGTGGCAAAAGACGAACAGACGTGTGGCTAATAGAAGGACAGCACATTTTTATAGCTCACATTGTACCTGTGAATATTATCCCATAGCACTTAGGAGCATCTTCCTCTGCAATGCTACAAAATGCTTCACAGGTTTGGTGTCTGTTTTTATACCCAAATGCCAGTGTATAGCTGGAAGGCACCACAGAACAACAGATCAAGTTTTATAGCTCGAAAAAGCTCTCTTTAAGGTGGAGCAGTGAAACAAGGTAATAATCTTACAAGCTGAGATAAACCTAGGGGGGGTTTTATATGATATGACATAAAGAGCTTATCAGTATGAGAGACAAGTGAAAATTGGATGTTTTACGCACACGCACATTGTCATAAGATCAAAAGTGCTCAGTTTATGAATGCAATCCTTCAAACCACCCAGGCAGATTTTACAGCAACATTGTCTGCAATCTGTTTGCGATTTTTTAGCAGCAGCCCACTTCACACTCACAGGGACGCCCAGTGAGAGCACAGCTGCTGCAGAGGGTGTCCACGGAACAGTGCTAACATGTCTGCAGAGGAGCAGTGCAGGTAGATTTTACACTCTCTGCAGTGTTGCAATGGAGCTTCAGATGTCCTCTGCAATCAGGTCACCTTAAAGTTCACTGAGAGTTAGAATTTGTCCAATCCTGACTTCACTCTTTTTTTAATGGATTGAAATGTGTCTTACAGCAGCAGCAGAAACATGTATTTGGCCTCATCGTTTCTTGTAGTGATTCTATTTCTTCATGCAGATAATTTTTTAGAGACCTCAGTCAGAGTCTGTAGGTTGTGCAACTGAAAGTTTGAGGAAAGCATTTTTGAAGGACTGAGCAGAGCGGAGACCAGAAATCTTGCAGCCCATCAGATCGGAGAATATGTTTGCAGGCAACCCCCATTTAAATACAATACAGCATGAATATTCCAAGTGTAAACAATCACAACAGCATGCAAAAACAAGACTTAATTATGCATAAATTATTATGATTATGCATATATGCAGCCTTTTGTAGCCTTTGTGGTTCAGCGTGCCATACTAAGCTACAATCTGTAGAGCTTTCTTTTTTTCTCTCTTTTTATGGAGATGGATTTAAATCATTTTATGTCCTATGTTGACAGTTACTTTCTTTGCAAGTTCAGGTTTAAATGCTCCTAAAATATGATTTAAAATATAATAATTTTGTCATGTACCTTAATTCACTAAAAATGCAATTATTTTGAAACAATTATTTTTTAGGATGATGGATGTTTTTTAATTTCCTTGAGAGAAGCTTTCTAAAAAGATAAATAAAGCTATATCTAATCCAATCTAATCTAATCAAATTAAAAACTATATTTTTCACTGTACTGGGATATATGGTGCCTCTATATAGGGTTGTGTTTATTGTGTTGATGAAAAGGGGTTACATGAATTTCCCCCTCCTGTGGTATTTATGTCAACATACGTTGAATTTTTCAAAGAGCTACGAGTGTATAGGTCGTGACATGCCGGATGATGTTTACAGAAATGTCAGAGCTCATGGAATCCAGTCTTCTTGCAGATGGTAATTAAATATGTTTTCATTCAGTCATTTTTCCTCATGGTTTTTAACAGTTTTGGTAGAAATGTTGTCTATACTGCATGCAACAACAACATCAACCCTTCTTTGGTCTTCCAGATTTAACCTTTATGTAATACCTCCAGCAGTCTTGTGGCATCTACTTGTTCCTAAATCATTACTTCAAGGCTTTCCTGTGCAGGACTTTGAACGTTTCATTAATAGGCAGCAATAATTTACTCTGGTTTGTTTTGGGGGTTTCACAAATGGTTTAAACTGGCGGACTGTTGAAGACTTGTATTGCTTTCAACAAAACAACCATGTGCAATGATGCCGTTTCTAGCAAAACCATGTCTTATCACCACCCTGCACACTACCGTAACAGTTGTTAAGCCCAGGTCTGGTAGCATTGATGCGTGTCAGATAAAGATGGACCTCATGACCAATTTGATGAGACACCCACCTCTGCAGGTTGAGGACTTGAATTGTGGCATCTATTCAGTCAAACCGGCACTCCAAAAAGCTTTTTTTTTTCTTTGACTATATACCTCTGTTTTCTTCAACCAAACAGTGTACTCTGATTTGTTACCATCTCAGGTGCTACAAGTTGTAATAAAAGCTTTAAGATCATTTCAAACCCTTAGCCCCCCCCTGAAAGCTCAGACTCACGTTCCATCCTCATTACTCCGATAGAAAACCAGGAAGGGATCAGATTTGCCAAAAAAGTCCTTCTTGTCCAGCTTGTTAGCACACAGCTGCATGGTGGCGATATCCTGAGAGACAGGACAAACCGTTTTAGATGCACATCAACAAAAAACACTCTGATGCAACTTCATGTTTATGTCAGCAATGTGTTTTCTGTGGAGTAACCGCTCATGCTTCTGCAGAGCAGCACTCTTTCTAAAAGTAATTGCTGCTGAAAATCTCAATGCAAATGTGGATCTGAACCTCCAGCAGTCAGGAAGACTTAATGAGCAATGCAGCCACTGATTACAGTGATTGCAATCCAGAATTTCATTTGAATTACAGGCTTTATAAGTGGGAGAAAGTGATTTTAATATGTGCAGAGAGGAAGAGGGAATTGCCTCATACATATGAATGAACTGTTGCTGCATGTAATGATGTTATTCTTGCTCCTGTGTTGACATGCCTGCATAGATTTACAGATGGATGGATAGATAGACAAATTTCCCTTAATGAGGCATTTCACTCATTCCCTTTAGTAGGAAGGAATCATAGGAATCCTAATCTTCTTATTGACGGAGAGGGCTGTCAGCTGATAAACACTCACATATACCATCACACACACGCACACATACACCTATCAGAATATCTGAAGAGCATTTGCAACTTGTCAGGAGCGAAACCTCCCAGAATAGCAATGGTGAACACAACAGCGATAAGCCCGTTCACATGCTGGTCTCTGGAGTCGACACACTCACACCGCACACACGTAGGAAGTCCTGTTGTAACCTGCTGCCTTGCTGGTATTAATAAAACATTGTGGCGGGGGGGATGACAAAATTGGAGGAGAAAAATAATTTACTACATAACAGGAAAACAGGTTTTGGCAGTTCATTTTAAACACAGTTGAGGATCTGTGGAGAAGCCTTCAGGACATCGCTTCAGTAGTGAGCACCAACTGCTTTTTAAATGATCATTTCAATTTTAAAAGTGGGGAAACCACCTAACGAAAATACAGTTTATCCTAATTTTAATGTGATGACAGCAACACATCTCAACGCAGTTGGGACAGCGGCGTGTTTACCGTCGTGTTGCATCAGCTCCTCTTTTCATAACACTCTATGATTGTTTGGGGACCGAGAAGAAGGGCATTTCTGCAGTTGCCCTTTCCTGACTGAAACACGATTTCCATTGTCTTATTCTAGTCCAGACCACTTTCATCAAAAGAAATGATTACTTGCGTGTAATAATCATATTTGGTGGTCCTGAGAGATCCCTGCCCTTCCACATGTCTATGTGGAAAGTCAAATCCTGGAGTGGGAGCAGGGCACACCTCCCCCTCAATTTCATATGAATGAATGGAAAGCCAATGCAGGCAGAGCAACAGCAAAATAAATAAAGTTTTATATTATCATATTGTTATTTGCTGTCAACAAGAAGCTGACAGGGCAGCATTAAAACACAGTGTATGCGCTGAGGCCTCAGGAAATTTGTCATGGGATCTAAAATAAAAAAATAAATAGACAGCATGTTGGACCCTGGAGAGTCAGAGTCTCATGAAGTATTCACAAGAATTATGCAGAAACTTCAAGACTGTCAGGGTAAAGTGTAAACAAAAGAGCTAGTTTGCTGTTCACGTCATTTCAGAAGACAGAATACATCATACCTCAGCACAACAATGAAGTTTCTCGTCTCTTTCTTGACACATTTTTGCCTAAACTGATGATGTTTTTTTGTGCATTTGGGTTTGTGTTTGAGAACAGGATTGCAAGTTATTACAACAGTGTCAGGGAAAAAGTTTGGTAAAACAAAAATACCTGTGCAAAACTTTTGTTTGTGTGCATGTCTGAGTGTGTGTGTTTGTGTTTGTACTGACCCTGCAGTTACTGAGCTCCTCTGCAGTTAAGATAATGACTCCACACTTCTTTCCTGGAATCCCACTGAGAGAAAAGAGAGAGAGAGAGAGATTGTGAAGAAGTAATTACATAAATAATACAATTCTTTCAGGCGGACGCCATTCAAAGCTACAAGCTGTTTTTGTGAGACGTGACAGCTCATGATGTATGGAAACTGTCACATTCTCCAGAAAAAAATCTAACATTTTAGGCCTCCATAAAATTTTCAAACTTTAAATTTGACACAAAAATCAAACCAGACCAACTGGGGAAGATTATTTCCAATCTAATAGGATCTAAACACAATTTCAACATTTCACTGTTTCAGCAAAATACAACCTCCTCTTCTCCTTCGCAATAGTTTTAAATCAAAATGCTCACTTTTTACCATTGGAAACTAAATTCTGCAGCTTTAAATCTTAATGTTGTTGCTATGTCCTGTTCGATGTTCAGAACTTTGCTCAAGGGCACTACAGATGTGGCAAAAGCAATTTGTTCCCATCCTGTCCAGAGTTAACATATAAAACCAAGATATCAGACTGGAGCTTGAGACAGAAAGTGAATTATAACGCAACATCTTCACTTTTAAATGGAAAGCCACATGTTGCATCAAGGATGGAGAAACATCAGAAGTGTTTTGTAAACAAACGGCTAAGCTGAGTACAGAGTAGACACGTGCTCTGTGAATGTGCAATAAATGCAAACAGCAGTTGCAATTGGCAAGTTGAGACAGTAATGTCTGCATCTCAGAAAACTTTTGTTATTGCTGTCCACTTCAAAGTCAGAGTTGTGTAAGTTCATTATTAAAATGAAGGAACTCAAAATTCAGTTCTCGTAGATTGAACTTTTTGTCTTCAAATAAACTGAGGCTCAGGCTCATGAGCTGCAAAGTAAAACACCAAATTCACCAAAACATTAGTGCATTCAGTCAACACATTTATTGTAGTGGGCTCATGCACAACACTGTCCAAATGTCCACATTGGACAGTGTTTGTAAAGACTTCCATTATCAATGGCTTCAAACTCAGTTTGCACATGTGCACAAAAAGCTACATATTCCAAAATACCATCTTACATGCAGACTAGTCCTCTAATGTGTTTCCGATTGAGAACAAATCTGATTATATCCGTTGCATGTTTATTATTCTGGTGCAGCACAAAAAAAGCACATCGGACCTCCAAGTGACCTGCTCCATGTTAGTGTTGTCGTATCAAGTCTAAAACTAGTCCTGTTATTTTTAGGATCCATGACTCGATTAAGACTCAGAATCAAGTTTTAAGAAAAGAGGACTTAGCTTGTGTATTGACTGACTGTCTCATGCTTGATTTTATTTTACTGTATTCAGTTTTATCCAAGTAATTGATTCAGTTTCAAGCAGCCCAGTATCAACAAGCAGAAGTAAAATAAGCTGCAACTGTAGAGGGGTGTGGTCTGGCTAGCGCTAGCAGTGCTATTGTCGAGGGGATTTAACCAATCAGAATTGAGTATTTAGCACAGCTGGAGCTAGAAAACTTCGTATGAAAATTATACATAATAGGAGAGAAAAGACACTACCTTCTGAATATTTACTGCTTTAAATACAGTTTCATTTATTATGAAGGCTTAGTAAACAAGAACAAAAAAACCCAGCTCTGACAAAAAATAAATAAATAAATAAATAATAATAATAATGATAATACACCCTGAGAAGCAGCATCTGATTCAAACTTTAAAATACTTTGACTGCTTGGTGAGATTTTTGTAACTTCATTGTGAATTCTTTCAAAAATGTCATCCGTCTTTTTTCTTCAACAGTGTTTTGGAGGATGACGCCTGCTAAGACATTTTCCCTGTTCTGTGACTCATTTATATGAATAATAATTCAAGATGGAAAGACTCTGGTGAATGAACAGCTCGCTGAGCTGCCACAAAAGAGAGAGAAACTGAACAAAGACACATGATTCAAGTCTGCAGAGTTGAATTAAAGAAAGAAATGGAAGGTGAGAATGGAAAACTAGGTGAAACTTTGTGAAATGTGAGGACATGAAAGTGACCAGATTAGCTCCTGAATGAGCCGAGAGAGACAGCAGAGGTTGAGGAAAGAGGAGGAAATGACTCCTGGGAGTATAAATGAATGTTAAGTGGCACAAGTCTCCAGAAGGAAAATGAAAAATCAGCTGTATAAAAAAAAAAAAAAACAGTTGATTTATTAAAGTATTTTTTTGATGTTGGACATTAATAACAGCTGTTGTGGAGTCCTGTATTCAGTACACTGTTAAATAAATGCATAAAGCTCAGAGCTTTTTTCAATAGTATTTCTTCAGAATACCTTCTGTAGTTACTGTATATGTTCATCTTACATTTGATAAGTACTTGATAGATACACTGTAATTTCCCAGCTGCTAACCAAAGTAACCAGAGTGCATCACTCATCCAGCACGGCTTCAATTAATGCACAATGAAAGCAGTGAGACGATCTACTGAGTCTATTTGTTTTTCCCACATCAATTTTAAAATTCTGCACAGCGCCTTTAAATCTCTTTAACAATCCCTTCATTGAATCACTAATCACATTCAAAGCACTGCAGTGTTGAGAGACTAATGATGATAAGGCTGAAGTTTTTCAATTGACTCTGCTAACATGAAAATCTCTGAGTCACAGTATGCTGGGCATTTTGAAGCACAGGTTATAAGCAACTTAGCAGCTAATTGTTATTGTTATTGAACTCATCGACACATCATTAACATCAGGCATGTTCTTCTCTGGCTTATATGTCTGTCATCCGCTTAAACTAAAAAAAGAAGAGAGACAGAGGAGAAAACTGAAACAATTTGTCACTTTGAAAAGTACATTCAGGAACATTCATTGTTTTCACAGCTGACGGCTCCACTGACAGCTAAGTCAAACTGTGTGGCACTGTCACAGTGAGTCTGGCTCTTGATCTGCAGACTCTCTGTATGAATCCTCTTCAATCTTAGACACCCAAACACACAGCATGCACAAAGAAAACCATTAATTCAGATCTATGCTGTCTGTCAGGCCTGAGAAACTGATCTTTTTGTTTGATTTTTCCTCAGGGCCTTCGATTCTCTGCAGCTACTTTACTTAATAAAACTATCACTCATAGAAAACATTTGGGAGTTAACACTTTACTCTCATTCTGCACCAAAACTGTAAAGCCCCTCGCCTCAGAAACAGGAAATGGAAATTTGAAAAAGGGGATAAATGAGGTACCCGTCAATAGTGGGTGATCAGAAATCCAGGGAAAAAGAGGAGGTTTCAAGTTATCTGGTGGTCCAGGTGTGCAAACTGTGAGCCCGCAAATCCTTAGAGCTCCTGGGACCTCATTTATCAACCGTGCGTACGCACAGATGTGTGCGTAATGAGTGCGTAATGAGTGCGTATGAACATTCCCACGCAAAGTATGGAATTAAACTGTACTGCCTTGATTGCAACAGGACTTCGGGACCTTTCTGAGTCGGGGGATTACTATGGCTCACATACAGCTACAGTCAGCATCCTGCAGTGTCCTGCTACAATTGTACTATTTTTGCTTTTCCAACTTCCAGGGGCCTAATCTATCAAACGTGTGTAGAAAAGGTTCGAAATTCGTGGGGTGGGAATGAAATTTAGAATGTGCGTTAGTACAAAAAAATCTGCATTTAACAAACATGCAGACACCGGTCGTACGCACACGTAAGTAATCGGTGATGATCAATCCCACCTGGCCTTTACTACCTTGCTTGTGCATGGTTAGGGTGATTTGCATTCAGAAACGCCTCCAACTGACCATATATAGTATCAACAATCCCTTTAAAAATGCGTGAATGAATTTTTCCCCCTCGCTGAAATCATGGAGGTGCACATTCACAGAGCTGTTCTACAGAATAAATAAGTCGTGCGTTCCTCCAGGCCACCGGGCAACAACGTTTAACAGAAACAAATGTGCATCGCAGATTATTCGCGCATTAAACGAATGAAATCCTTTCCTGTTAACAAAACTGAATTTATTGTGTAAAGGTGCTTTCATTGCGATGTGGGTGCAATCTATTGCTCCACTTATGTTCAGGGATCCGGCGATGGCGTGAAATCCTGGTTTTATTTCGGCTTGTTGGTGATGTGTGTTTGGGAATTGGATGTAAATTGAGGCCAGAGAAATTAATGCATTCAACTCTGCCGGCATGACTCCACTTTGTGTTGTCTGCGAAATGCCGCATATGTCTCCAATCTCACGTTGAAATGTTCCGGTGGTCAAAAAATCCCAGGGTGGACATAAACTGGATGTGCACTGGGATGGCTTTGGTGCGTTTTGTCTCTCGCTCCAACACAGGTTGTTAATCACGGCATAAACCCATTAAGATATTTTGGGGAAGCGGTACCTGCTAAGAAGCCACTCTGTGTTCTCACTGAACTGATCAGCACGGTCTTCAAAAACGCGCTCCCCGCGGAGTGTACGGTTCTCCAAGTCCTCCAATTGTTTCAGTACTTGTAAGACTTCTTTGAGGTTGTCCTGTCAGAGCAGATTTTTATAGCTTGTTACACCAATCACTCAAAATATCTGCTAAATAACTAATCAGTTAAATTTTATACAGAGGCAACAGGGAACATGTGTGAAGTTTGAGATTGCTGAACGCCGTGACTCCTTTATTTGGTTCTATTTGTAGTTTCACTGTTATACCACTAGATTTTGTGTGTACGTATGGTCAGAGTTGTGCTTTAATTTACACACATTCCTAAGCACAAGTACAGGTTGACAAATTCCAGACTTTGCGCAGGAATGTTCGTACGCACTCACTACGCACACATCTGTGCGTACGCATGGTTGATAAATGAAGCCCCAGGAGTTAAATCAAAAACCCAGAGGAGCTGTTCAGCGCTCACTTATGTTTTATTGCATTATAACCCAACCCATGGTCCACACATTATACTAAAGTTATCAAATACACTGTGTTTGCAGAGGAAGGGGCTACTGAGCTGAAATAACAGACTTTACACATATTACTCGATCAGCGCCATAATGCTTGGCATTTGCTGCTTATGATTTATTCAAACTAGTACAGAAAAACCCCCAAAAAGTTTAATTGTTGGTTTACTGAGAAAAATACAGGTTGATTTGTGCATCACAGAACAGCCAATCAGTGTGCTCCGGCTAAATGAACACACATGAGCTGTATTTATGACAAGTACCAAATAAAGTGGCTTCCTAAAACACTGAAAACAATTCTAAATCAAGGAATCTTTGTGATTGCTAATTACAGTATTTTTTCATTGTAGCTAGATGTCACAGATACTTGTGAAAAAAATATATAAATAGTGATCATGCTTTTCTGTAGCGCATGTTACAGGATAAAAAGGTGTGTTGGGAACACAGTGAGCTGGGTTGTTATCCAGATTTGCCTGAGTGAACTAACGCAAGAAATATAAAATGTAAGACTGAGATTTTTGCAATTTTCGTCATCAAATATCTTTGATTGTTGAATTTTGAGCTTTTAGGGAGTAATTCCACCTCCTTGTACCTCACGGTGTCCACATCCGAGTTTATCAGGAATGGGAAGCCTGAGGCGAAGCCAGGAGGCAGAGCTTCTGCTCGCTGACCCTGAATATTTCAGCAGCGCCCCGGTCCAGTGCCACAACAAAAGCGGACTGCATAATAACAACCCCATCAAAGCAGCACAGGCTCATTTAACTGTGATAGTGAAGAAGGAGAGAAGGATTGTGACATCTGACAGAGGCTGAGAAAGAAAATAAAATAAAGGCCGGAGTGTGCCAGGAATATTGATTTTATGGCTAAGAAGAAAGAGGGAAGAAAAAATAATGAGAACAAAGTTGAATCCAAAGACAGACTCTGTAAGGCACTCTCGCCTCATCTCAAGATGCACAGCCCTCCTTCCATGACGTAGTTTCAGAGCCGGTGGATTTTCTCACTCGTGCTGCCCACCAGCTGTAGAAGGCAGCCACGATGAGAGACTTATTTATGAGTTTATTCGCACAGCCCGGCAGAAAAGAAAAGCTTGGAATCTGGAGTATCTGTCCAAGGCTTGACCGCTTACTGACTACAGGACAATAATGAAATACTGCTCCCCTGCTTGAAGTGTTTAAGCCTGAGACGCTTTACACCACAGAGACTTGTTAGAGCTCGGTTTTCAAAACGTGTTGGCATCTTATAATTGAAGCTTACAGCAATTTAACGAAAGTCAGCCTATGTGTATTGATTTTGAATATTTGCAACCACTATAGCCTCTCAAAACACGATCTAAGTGAGGCAGCTGCAAGCGATTTCATAAGCTGTAAACAGCTCGTGGGAAACACAACATGGATAAGCCGCCATCTGCTATGAATGAAGAGACATGACGAGCAGCCTCTCCACAGGACTCGGGTAAACCTCGGGATCATGGTTGTCATTTGAAAAGTTCACAGAGAGCCAAACACGAGCAGTCGGACTAGTTCTTTTCTGGAAATTTGCCCAATTTGCTCTGACTCAGGCACCATCAAACACCGAAGCTTTTTTTTTATTTACTACCATCAAACAATCGACTCTATGATAAGATTAAGGCATTTCAATCAGGGTAGATAAGTTTAAGAATGAAGGATAAGTTATCAGGATAATTATCAAAGTCATGGCACTTCCAGGTCAAAAGATGATTGATCTGAGTGGGCGCAGGAAAATCCCTCCATAGAGTCCTGACACTGATTAGCCAATCGTAGCCCTAAGCAGTAATGGCAGGGAAAGTGTGTGAGCAAACTAGGAATGCAAATATAGACTTACTGACTGAATTAACACTCAAGCTCCATGTGATTTCTATTATAGTCAATGACCAGGGGCCTGTATGACACAGGATCAGCTGTTCGCAAACTTTAGACATCAGACATTATTCCTCATATGATGTAGGCACATGTAGGCTGTCATCTCTGAAAGCTCCTTCAAAGCCAATCGCAGAAACATACCAGGTTTTCTGCTTATTAGTATTTTTTGTTGACTCTAAATATGATTTTCTCACACCGTCATTCTCATAAGAAAATGACTTTAAAGTTGTACAAAACTGTAAAAAAAAAATTGTAAAGCTTTAAAAAGAACTTTTCTTTCTTTAATGCAGCCCTCATACTCTTTTGTATTTTCATGAAGACGGCAAAAACTAAAGTTTTGGGAAACACTGACTGACTTACATATAGTGGTTGTTGACATGTTTGTTCATGCTCTATCTCAGTTCTGTGATGTTAGGTTTAAGAAGTGCTGATTCTCATAATGCTGCAGCATGGGGGCAAATTAATACATTACAATCAATAGTTTCTATTCACAGTATAATTCGCTGTTTCTAAGACGATTACATATTACCCCCAAATGGCTGATTTTGCAAGCATATGTGAGCGTTTTTAACCCTTAAAGGTGGTTTAGGCAGGATCGGAGGAAGTGCCAGTTTTTGGGAGAAATCTTGAATGTAAACACTACCTCACCCAACCAATTTGCTCCTCCTCTCCCCTCTCTCTCTGCTCCAGCAAGCCTCGCCCACAAACAGATGCTCGTCCTCGCTCGTATTGTTTCAATTAAATTCAGATATAATGCAGATAAATACCTCAGATGATTACAAATGGGGCCCAGTAAAAGTGAAAGTAAAAAGCATTGGTGCTACTGTAGATGCCAACAGACTACCAGCAAACACAATGTTTGCAGGACTTCAACAACAAGGATAAAGTAACATATTTCAGGACCCGAGGTAAACAGTTAGCGGTGCTACAACACACAGCAGGTCCATTTGACAAGAAACACTTCTGTTACAGACACTTGGCTTACTTTGTTAAAGCGGGTTACCTGTCCAGCAGAAAGGTTACAGGGTCCATAAGATCCCGAAGCCTGCCCCACCATTTATGCTTCACTGATGTTGACCTGGCTTTTTAGCTCTTGTTCGGTCTCAATCAATCAAATTTTATTTATATAGCGCCAATTCACAACAGTCATCATCTCAAGACGCTTTTCAAAGAACAAGAGCAGGTCTAGACCACGCTCTTTGTTTGATCAAGAACCAACCTAAGATGGGTTTTGGCCGATCTCAACTAACACGAGTACATGAGTCTACCTCCTTTTTAAGTGCCCGTTATTCCACCAGAGTTGCAGGTATTTACTTTGTTTTCTTGATGTGTTTTCTGTACTTTCTGGTTAGTTTCTACTGTCAGATATTGTAGCACACTAACTTTGTTTGGGCTCGTGAATGTTATTCAAGGACGTGGAGAGTGCCTCACAACATGAGGGAGCAGCGTTTGCCTCACAACCAATCAGCACGAAGGATCAGCGTCTGCTTCAAACCAATCAGCAGGAAGAAGCAGCATCTGCCTCACAACCAGTCCAGTTGGGGGAGGTGGAGAATGGCTTTGTTTACAATCAGAAAGAGCGGGCTGCTCAAAAAATTAAAAATGTTGATTTCAACGACATAACAAAACACAGCGATATCGTTATATTACCAAATGTCATCAATAACTAATAACTGATATTAAAAGCCCCTTTTTTGTGGTATATATACCACAAAAAAAGGATGCTTCTTTAACGGAATCCTGCCTACCCCACCTTTAATGCATGATCTCATACACAGAAAAATACTGAAAGCACCTCTGCTATAGAAAGTTTTTTTTTTTTAGACAAGAAAAAAAAAAAGGTTTTAAAATATTCAAATCTGCATGCACATAGCTTCAGATTGCCACACAAACTTTTTTGTCTCTTCACTTTATTTTTATGCAAAGTACGTTGCACCCCATCTATGAAAGGATGAAATACTTTTACATTTATATTGTACATGATTCAACAAAACAACATTTGTATCCTGCACAGCCAGCAGCTCAGTAATTGTGATACACCAGCACTACCAGCAATCCCACACTGTTTTCTACCTCTCACGGAGACAAATCCTGTTATTCTGTGTGGCTGACTATTTTCTGCCTATGTGTTGCAGTACTTTACAGTATGAGTCTGTGTGTGTGTGGGGCAGAAGGCCTCCCACCAAGAGCCCCCTATTACACACCGTGCCCTCTGACTCTCAGCTCTGACAGATGACGATACCTAGCAGCCAAACTCAGATAGCTTTTATTTAACGATACACAGGCTGGTGTGCCGCCATACACCCAGAAAGCATCAGCAGCCATGCAGACATCTTGTTTAGTCTGCTCTCCACCTCATCAATCTACATCTAAGCAAGTGGCAGCGTGTGAGATTGTTCACAGATCAGCCTCGTTTCTTTACATTAACCAACAAATGGGTGATCTGTCTGCTTTCTGCTCGCTTGTCAACTGCAAGTCATGTTTCGAATTTCAGTTTATGCTCAGAAAGCTTATCGTACTGTAGGTTTTATTCGAATTTTATAAATCAGATACTCTGTATGAAAGTTAATGCACTGCACTTTCTCTGGAAAATAATCATTTCAGTTCAAAAATACCTCCAGTTCTTCATGAGTATCCATAAAAGGCATCCAAACGAGCGCCCATTTATACTTTCAAAGGAGTGCGTTTTGGGATCATTGTTATACCCCAACCGCCTCGGCTAATAGCCCCCTGGGTAACCATGGCAACTCCCAGGTAAGTGGAAAGGAGTGCTTGGTTTGCCACGCAGCATGAAACCAGTTTCTAAAAGTGTTGACCTATAAAAACATACACCCACCAACATGTGGAGGCTACCACAGCCATGTATACGTTTTAGACTCTTCTGTGTGTGAGTGTGTGAGTGTGTGAATGTGTGTGTTTGTGTGTGTTTTTGATGGAAAGGGATGCAGAAAAAAATCAATAACACAAGTTTTTTTTATATACGGGTCTGTGATGTCTCTGTCCGAGCTTTATTTATGTGTTTCTCAGAGTGTGAGTGTGTGCTGGGCTGGCAAAGAGATTCCTCTAAATGACAGAATACAGAGAGAGTGAGAGAGAGAGGGGGAGAGAAAGAGGGAGGGAGGAAGTGCTGCACAGTTTGGAAAGTAAACACAAATCTATCTCTCTCAGGAAACTTGTTCTTGTCACCGCATCCATCTCCCGCTTTCTACTGCACCCACTCCTTTACCCCGAACTTCATCACATTTCTTCCTTTTCTTCCTCCCTCTTCTTCGCTCTGGTGACTCGCTTTCTGTTCCCTCTTCCCTCCCTTTCTTCCTTGTCTACTTGTTGTCACCCCTTCACATCCTTCCCTCTCACTCTCTATGTCTCCTTTACTCCTCTTCCTCCCCCATTGTTTCCCCCCCTGGGCTCTGCGGTGTCTGATCTTACAGAGGCTGCAGACAGCTGTCTATTCCCTGCAGGCAGCCATCAGAGACACTGACCATATGGGAAGAATAGAGATTGCGCTCCGCTGGTCTTTTATTGTGCCTTTTACCTTTTCTTTTTTTAGCCTCCTGACAAACATTTTTCTGCTGCTGTTCTCTTTTTGCTTTTGCTTTTTTCTTCCTTTGGGCCACAAAAAGACAAACTGCTCAGAGAGGGGAGGGGAGGAGGTATTTTTGTGACAAAGCTGCGGACATGAGGTGTATGGATGGACCATTGGGGAATAATGTGGCAGTTGTGTATCTCTACTTTGTTGTTTGGCTGTGTTTTAAATTCAAAACTGCTCTTTAAAGGGAATTGAGGCCAGCGGGTATTTTTGTCTCAGGTATTTTAAGATTTTTAAGGCATGGCAGAGAACAATCGAGATACGAGGCAGAGAACCAGCATTATGTTGGGATTAGGGGACATAAAATGTTAGATACGGCTGGATGTTTATCTCACACTAGATGTGCACTGTTGTAAGCAGCAATGAAGGAAAAACTGTTCAAGGTTTTGAAGTTTAATCATTCTTAATAATAACAAACCAGCTGAAAGCACTTTATATGTAAACAAGGACAGGCTCAGGGACATTTTTGATATTTTGTTGAAAAGATGACATTGGGGATCATCATATAACAGATGGATTATCACTTTTAACCTCTTCTAAATCACAGTCTGTCCACCTCTGGTACTGAGTGAAAGCAACCTTTTCAAAGCCAGAAAACAGGAAGACAGACAGACCTTTAGTTTCTTAGAGCTTTGATTTTTAAACAGCCAAAAATTTCTCTGTTTTCTACGGCTGGAAGTGGATATATATCGGTGGATTTAAGGGCTCTACTTACTACTTGGCTCTGCAAAAGGGTTGTGGTGTCTCTAATCCTTCGGTTTTGTTTTACGGACTGCAATTTCCCAGCTGTGTATCCCTAAAAATGCTGTCATCACCTCAGTATCAGCATAAAACTCTAAAATGCCTGATAGAGCATGAAACAAAACATTTCAATCAAACTACAGTCATAAAACCAAACTTCCTCCAACAAGTTTATGCTTCTGGACTTCCTGGTCAAATCCTGGAGCATGTGCAGAAAGCTCTGAGCTCATTTGAGACCGACTGAGGAAAGACAAAACTGATCTGCAACCCTGTTATCCTGTTAGATCAGTGAGAATTTAAGGAATTTAACTTGGCGCTACTTCACAGAGTTTTGAACGGGGTTATGACACGGATTGAAATTTATACTGATGCAACAAAACTGACAATGTGTACATCAAATGTCTATATGAAGGGGTATCGTGGGTGAGTGAGAAAATAACAACCCGGCTGATGAGGCTGGATAGTCAGTGCCAGAGACATCGGGAGCTCCCAGCCAGCAAACTGCTGCTGTGAGAGCCAACACGTGGGAACCCACCACAAGGACGTCCTGCAACATATGTCAACATGAGTGGATATTCTCAGGAGAGACGCTGGCACAGTGAGAACTGATGAACTGACCAGATGCATGGATGATTGGGATGACTGGAAACATCACTGTAGGGCCTATCCAAGGATGACCAAAAATATAAATGAATAAATGATGAAACTTTATTGAAAAAATCATATTTTAAGCATTTTTTGAAGGTGATTAAAAACTCAAACCTCTGGAAATATAATGAATGTTTGACCCTCAGACAGTTTGGTTTAATTGGCCTCAAAAATGAAATCTAGGTCAGTCTGGAGGAACTGGGGTGATGGTGTTTCAAAGCTGAGAGAGTGGGCTCACGGGTCCTGGATTGACCATGTTTCTACCAGATCCATGACAGTTTACTTAACCTATAGTGTTAGTGCTTGAACATCACCAAACATCAAAAACCCATTTCCAAATAATTGGGTTGGAGTGTAAGATTTTCATAAAATAAAATTTGAGAGTTTTTTTTTTTTTGGACCCTAAATTTCACTCCAAAACTTTGAAATGAGAACATGTGAAATGCTGGAACTGAAATACGTTTTTGTTTATCAAAATTAATGCTGGTTTATATCAAAGCAACACATTTCAAAAGAGTTACGATTTTTCCAGACTGTCTTTCAGTGAAGTAACGGCTTTAAAAGACTCTCGAACCACAAATTTCTATAAACATTTTTCAACCTGTTAATTTCTTTTACGATCAGGTTTTCAGAGGCTCTTGGGTTTCAACCAGGATAAAATCTTACTGTGAACTTCATAATTCACACAAGACAGGAACAGAGCACATTGGGGAGAAATAGAACAAGGTAATCATTGGAAAGTACTGAACAATGCTGGGGAACATTATTTTTTTTCCACCCCTGTATATTAGTGTCATGCTGACAGATTCAAAAAAGACTCTGTGCTGCCGGCACCTTAAAAACTTCAAGTTGATTTAAATTTAGTTCAGAGTGAAAAGAAACTTTAAAATATCTAGTAACCATCAATAATTACAATCATATTTCTGTGATATGTCTTAAATCATCAATAGACTGGAGTGTAATTGGTCATGCACCTCAGACCTCCCTGCTGTCTCCTTAAAGAACTTTTATGAGTCAGATCTGAAATATATTTCTGCGATAAAACACCAGCTGTGAGAGCAGCAGATGCTTTCTGCCATTTACCACACTGAAAGGCTAATGCACATGATTTCAGACCTGCACACCTTTCCTGTCAGTGTCTTCAAGCTCCTGTGTTACGTATTAATCACAACATAAATCATTAACGCTCCTCCTCAGACAGGGGTCTTATTGTATGTAACCTCTCTCTCATGTCACTTTCTTCATTTCTCTCCTCAAGGTGAATTCCATTAATGATATAATAATACTGTGATTAATCACGTGGAGCTTATGGCAAATTTTAGACAAGTGTGAGTGATTGTCCCTGTCTTAAAAAGTCTGTCTCATTGAAAAAAAAAAGGAGAGACAGAAATCGATGAATCTGTCTAGTTTGCCAACATGTATGCATGTCTGTTAGTGTCTGCAGGCCTGAAAAGGAGACATACTGAAGATCTTCAAGGAGACGCTAGTTTAATTATAGCTTACATGTCTATATTTCCGGATTTCAAACATATTTCTAGTCTATCATTCTTTCGTTTTTCTCCCCTCTGGTTTGTCCAGCAATGCGGTATTTTTGTTGACAGTGGATCAAAACTGGATGAATGTTTGGTCTGTCTGAGCATGATAAGCTTTCTGAAACATGCTATACTGGCAGTGGGGCAGCTGTAGGGGCTGTAAACTGGACCCAAGCCGGCTCACTACCAAGCCTGGATGAAATCAGAGGCAGTGATTCATACACACCACTGCAGAGCAAAATATAGAGCCAGCTAGACTTTCCTGTTGACAGATTGAATTTATCATTTGTTAGAGGTGTTATTTAATAGGCATAGAAGTTCGTCTGTTTGTTGAGCTAAACATCCGTGACCAACACCACCAAAGCTTTAGCGAATTTCAGCTACTCAGCATTTCAGTGACTGTCATATTTTTTGTTTCATTACACCTCAAATGTTTTTGAGGAGTGATGTAGACGTCAGCAGCAGGACTCTTCTACTAGAGAGCCATGCTGTTGTAATCCCTGCAGAATGTGGTTGGTCATTGTCTTGCTATAATCTGAAAGTCTTCCCTGAAAAAGCTGTACCCATGACATGGACTCTGATGATCCCCATACCATCAGGGATACTGGCTTTAAACAGACAGTGGTTTTTGAGAGTGACTTTTAGCCCAAGCAGTGATTTCCACTTTAGAGACGGATCTGTTTTAACGCAGTGCTGTCCAAGGGGCCGAAGATCAGCCATCAAGTATTATTATTTTTTACTATAGATAATGAAATCCACTCATTCTTACAGACTTGACACTCAGAGACATTATTGTGAAACTGTTGAATTAATTGCTTACACGGTCTCTCACAGAGTGGTGATCTTTATTTCTCAGAGACTCAGCCTCTCTGAATGCCCTTTTAATACAGAGTCATATTACTAACCTGTTGGAAATGAAATTTCTGTTTGTATTACATTCAGCTAAAGAGCTGGTCCACCACAGTTACATTAAAGGTGGGGTAGGCAGGATCTGAGGAAGTGCCAGTTTTTGGGAGAAATCTTGAATGTGAAAACTAACCCCGCCAACCACTTTTCCCATCAGCTCCTCTTCTCCCCTCCCTCTCTGCTCCAGCAAGCCCCGCCCACAAACAGACGCTCCTGCTCGCTTGTATTGTTTCAATTAAATTCAGGTTTAATGCAGATAAATACTTAAGATGATTACAAATGGGGCCCAGTCAATGTGAAAGTAAAAAGCATTGATGGTGTTTACAGTGACAAAGAGCGGGCTGCTCAAAAAATTAAAAATGTTGACTACTCAGACATAACAAAACACAGCAATATCATTATATTACCAAATGTCATCAATAACGAACAGCTATTGACTGATATTAAAAGCTTTTTTGGATATACACCACAAAAAAAGATGCTTCTTGAACGCAATCCTGCCGACCCCACCTTTAAGGATATTGCTTTCCCTCTATTTTGGTACCCACATCGACTGTTTTTTCTGTGTGCAATTAGTAGAAACTAATATATTCAACTTTACACAAATCCCAACGTTTCATGCCATAATTCCTGCTCCAGGGTCTTCTAACAAAAGTATGCCCCCGGCTCTCTGTTATCTAAAGGCAGCCCCATAGCCATCTGGTGATACAAATCTAAACACCTCCCTGAACACATTAGAGGAGCGCTGCGGTTTACACTGTGATGATAAACAGACAAGCACACGCCGTAGGTCAGAACCAACTCACAAACAAAGCTCCACTATAGACCACTTAGCCTTCTCTTCAGCAAGTCCCTGACTCTTGTTAATAAAATGTTAGGCAAGCTACATCATCTTTGCCTCAGTGATTGTAGAAATTCACTTTATTTCTCAGTAGAATCAATCCATGCACAAATCAATGTGCTGCAGTCATGAATATTTTTGTCCCTGCTTGTTGCAGCAGTCCTTTAAGTCTTATACTGAATCTTGTATCTTGTCAGCCTTGTATTTTGTTGTAGATTAGTCTTCTCTGCTGTCATCTGACAGGGAGGAGAAGTAGAGCCTTACTTCACGCTTGCATCAGGCCTGGTAATGAATTAGATATGTTTTGATAGATCACTGGCTCAACAGCGCCCCCTAAATTTGAAAAACCAACCCCTCACAGGGCTCAACTCACATGTATGAAATTTACTATACATATGTACAGTATCACCAAGAACTACAAAAAAATTATTTTGGACCCATCCTCTTATGTTACATGTTACAAGTCAATGCAAAGACGCGATTAGTCATGCCTACTCCTCTGGTGGCGCGAATGACGCAAATTGGGCTGGAGCTGAAAATGTCTCAACTTGAGCAGATATTTGTGCCGCGATAACTAATCAGTACAAAGGTTGCCAGGTGATGTATGAAAATGGACGGTGTTCACTGGTAATGGTGGTAATGGAAGACAAACTGATGGTGTTGGTGTGTCGGTTCCCTTAAATTATTTGATACCTTTTTTTTCAATTATCGGAAGCGGAATAAAAAGGAGCTTGCCTAAAGGCAAGTGAGTGAGGAAGTCGGATTACCTGGTAAGTTGTAAAAAAACTTTGTCTATTACTTGATACCACTGGTTGAGTTGTCAGGAATTGCCATTGAAATTACCGCTGACGCAAGAATGAAGCAAGTAAATACTGTTCATTCATGCATCTAGATTCGCGTGAATTAAGCGAGTAGATGATTTTACTCGTGCTTGGTGTGAGCGCCCCATTAACCCGACAGGAAGTCCATAAATTTCAGTTAAATATCATAATTTTTGTCTATTTAACAGGTAGTGATGTTCGCCATCAAACATTCATGCATTTTCCTCAAACAGTCTTCAGTTTGTTCCATATTCTATATACATGGTCAATGTCAACCCTTAAACTAACCTACATGCTCAGGTTTTGATTACACTCATAGCGCCACCCTGTGGAGCAATGTGGTCTTAGTCTTCACATATATGGTCCAATCTGCTCCAAATTTCACACGATTTATTACAGTTCTGATCTGAACTCTTCCACATACATATTTTTGTCAGTGATACTGCCACCTATTGGAAACAGGTGGCATTAACTCAAACAAACAAAGTACATTAATTCTGTTGACAGTTTTACTTGTGCCCTTGTAACAACAGATGATGTTTTTTGTTTTGTTTTTTTACGTTTTAGCTCCATCTACTCTGGGGCTACACAGTTTATGTTCTTTTAGCCACAGATGTAAAGTGACAGTCTTAGCCTGTTCACTCATTAATGTGCATTTACTTCCTGCTGTAAGGACCAGCCCTGGGCCACGGTTGCAGCTGTTGCATGACCAATGCTGTTACCTCACCTCAGAGGTGTGTGGATCTGTTCTTTGCTGCTTTAATTTTATTTTGTGATTTAAGCTCACACAGCACTTTGGAGAACTGTGTTAATTTCATTTCGGGTTTTACTATTAACAGCAAATTTGACTTGACAAATAACAAAATATATGAGTACTTTGTGTCTTGCGAGTTTCAATTTCTCTTGAAGAGCTAAGCTATTGAGTGAAAAATGATTTCCCCAAATGTTTCTATTAACTTGTTTCTCTTTTGTTTATTCCCGTGTAAATTTCCACATCCATTTCTCATTTTTTTGTTGACTTTTTTGGCATTTTTTTGTCTCCACAGGATGTCTCATTTTGTGAAAAAAGGACTCAAATCCATCTCTTTGTGTCTCCAAGCATTCATTCCTCTGATACAATGCGTTATTAAATGCTGCGGAGATGAATAGGCGTGGGGTTTTGTGGGTTTGTTACATTCACCATCTTTTCTTTTGACTTTGAGAGAAAAACATCTACTATCCGTAAAACCAAGCAAACATATCTGTCAGTATCCAAAGATATATTACTTCTACACCACAAACTCATGTCTGCAGGCTTCAGCTCCTTTTGTGTATTATCACTAAACTCTTCAACACACTACTTCAACAACAACAGCTCAGTGTGCAATGATGCAGCCACCTCATCTGGCCTCTCACTCGCTGATTTAGCAATATAATAGATTAGGCTATTTCAACTTGGTGAGTCTATACACATCACATTAGTGTGATGGATCAGAAAATGATGTTTCCCACAGCAGCCATCAATAAATATGGAACTAGAGACAGACAGAGATCCATCTCTCTCTCTCACTTTGCCAGTCTCCAGAATTATTTATGTGCAGGATCATAAAATGACTCAACAGCTGAGAGAAAAGCAGAGAAACACATTTTTTGTAATTGAACAGAAAGAATGTTGAGGGACTTACGATAAGGTCTTCTCCAGTCGTCCTCCGGTGGAGCCGATAATTTCTCCCAGGGTGCAGAAGGTCTGGCCCAGAAAGTCCTGAGAAAAGATAGATAGAGAAGAGGGAATTAATTACATGAAAAGACAGTCTGGGTTTCAAACAAGGCGCTACAAGTCAATTTAAAACAGTCTGCAGACAGAGAAATGGTAACACTGACACATTTAAGGGTTATTTTAACTTTTCCCATTGTTCACAAGAAACTTTTTGGTGTCCTTTTCTTTAAATGATCCAAAGCTTCAGTCATCTTGAATCTGAGATGCAGATAAAGTGTTTCTAGCTATGAGTCGCGTTATTTGTCTAACAAACTGACAAATTGTCTGACACAAACCTGTTCACAGCAGTGACAGACATTAGTAAAAGTCTATTATAGAAATAATCACTCCTCCAGATGGTCTTGTTTGCTTTGTGGGTCATACAAAGTCACTGTTATGCTTTTAAACCAGCAGAAACTCCTTTAGAGCTTCAAGTTGTACAAATTTAACATGTACTGCGTTTCTTTAAGGGTCATTATGTACTTAACTACAATTAGATTCCTGCTGAGACTATCCCCACCCTGCTCTCTCAGAAGGAATCTAATTGTAGAAAATCAAACAAGGGAGTTGAAGCAGTAGCTTTTAACCATTGCTCTTTCTTGCTGTGAGCAGTAGTTTGCATCATTTGTAGTCATTAAGGCCTTTAAGTTAGCTAGATTAGAGGGGCACTTCTTTATTCCTATCTCTTGCAAGCCTGCATGATCACACTGAAAATATACTTCAGCATATTAAGAGCCTGATTCACGAAGAGGTTGTGCAACTTTTGCACCAAGAAAAAACTGTACTGACTATACCTCATTCAAAAAGCCCATAGATGTACCTAAAGCTGTGCTGCTGAGCAAATAGTGTCTCTTTGATTTGGTGTTTTTTTATGCACATGTTGAAATGAGCTGCTCTGCATAAATGTGAGTGAAAACTGGCACCTTGCTTTGCGGAAATGTCTAATTCACAAATGCAGCCACTTCCAGCCACATGCAATTTCAGAGAAATTTTCTGTTTATGACTTTATAACTGCTTTTAAATGAAAAAAAAAGGTGACCAAATATTAGCAGTGTAAAGTCTAACATCTACACAAATTAAGGCAGCCTTCATGTCAGTTATTGTCTTTGAACAAGAGGAGTTATGAGCCAATAGGGCATGCAAAATAAATACTCTGCCCACCACTACGGTTAATATCCGTACATAAATCAAACCAGGGGCAGTGCAGGGCACTGGCAGACACCTCTGTGGTTACAAAGCATCTGCTGCAGGGTCGTTATGACGTTAGTTGTACTGTTTACGTACATGCATGGCACATTCTGTAAAATGCATCTGACTTGTCAAGTTTCCGGACTCCTGTAAAACCCGTAGTGTTGAATGTTTTGATCTAAAAACGTGAAAATGTTGGATCAGTCAGACAACTCTGCTATGTAGGCTACTGTTTACTTTATTGCAGCAGCACCAACAGCAGAAAGTTATTTGTGTTTGGCAACTTCATCACTCATCCCAGTTTTACTTTTGCTTGCAGAAACTGAGAATTTATGAGACAAAATCTTAAAGGCTCCAGGTGCAGGTGGATGCAGGGGTGGTGGTGATGGGGCTGAATATGTGAGTGTTACACTTAAGCATGGCAGTGGAGGCGTTGGAAAGCAGAGACCGGAAAGTCTTACGGCTGTGCTTGTCATGTAATGATGAATATCAAGTGTGAAACCAGTGCAGCTCAAGTTGACTGCCCGAGCGACCTCACAGGTGTTACCTCATTCTTGCACAGCTCCTCTGTTCTTTGATACATTGATGTTCATTTGCAAAATAATATAACAAGGTTCGTTTAAAGGGATTGGTCCAGTTTATAAATAGATGCAGTGAATGTCTATTATTGAATTTCTTTGCAAACATTTAATGACCAATGCATCTAGATTTCATTTCTTAATCGCGCCCTTGCTTCACCAATGAACTCATTTCCTGTCGACATCTTGCCCATACATGTCCGTGTATTGATACAAATGTTCTTCAGTCTTTCCATCCCATACTGATATCTAATTACTCTGAGGGTCCTCAAACTTTTTCAGCCTTTAACTTTACCAGTTAACTCTGAGGAGGCTGCCCATTAAAATATATGAACAGTGTCTAATTCCTCCACAGATTTCCGGAGCTCCTGTGCTTTAATAAACAGAGTTAACACTAAGACTCAGTAGCAATTATAAAAGACTATAAAACCAGTAGGGATAGTAAGAGAGATATTAAGGTTGTTAAAATCATATTAGAGTTCAATCTCTTATTATTGAAATGTCATTTTAAATTAAACTTTTAATTTAGGGTGTAATCCCACATTTTACATGAGCACGCATGATTCAACTAGGTCACGCCCCCAAGGACGCTGCATGGGGCGCATTATTTATTCTTTTTTAAAAGGAACACATTTGCATCTGACAGACTTTCCTCTTAAATCAGCATATTTACTGAACAAAAGATGTTGAAGTTTCTAAAGAGCCCACGCTCTACAAAGAGGAACATATGGCAAACCTAAAAAGATGGGAGATGAAATGACACAATAAGCCTCCTGCACAACAACAAGGGCAGAGCGCTGTGTGTTGATGTTTGTTGTGGGTGAGTGTGAGCAGGTGTAGGTGTGCGTCCCCATGAACTGAATGTGTGGAGCTCCTTTAAATGTCCTGACATGCACAATCTGCTGTAGTACACTGTCTCAAACAACAACAGCTGCCTGCACTTTGAAGTTGTGAAAATAGCTTTACCTGAGCCAAAGATAAAATGCGGACAGACAAAATGGGGAGGAACATTACGAGGGAGGCTTTCCGGGTGGGAGCTGGTGGTGTTTGTCCTTCATGAAATGAGATGAGAGAAGAATCGGAGAAATATAGGATAAAATTAAAGTAGATGAAACACAAAATAATCACAAGTCTCTTCAGGAAGCTTGAGAATATAGTGGGAAATAAAATGTGGAATGAATGAAGGACATTACAATACCATGACTCATGAGGATAATACAATCTGCATACACAGCACTCACCTTCTGCTCTCCCCATGAGTTGATTTTGTGGAGAAAGAAAGAAAGAAAGAAAAGGCTTTGTCAAAAAACGGCATTTACACGGTTCTGTCAGAGCAGACTAAACAATAGACTGAATCATCATTAGCTCCCTCACTCATTCACTGTAAATGAGCTTTAACAGCGTGAGTAATGCTGAGCTTAATGGGATCTGTTTTGGAGAGTGACAGGAGTCGTCAGTGCTGAGTCAAAGCTGTCAGTAGAGTTTGACATACTGTACTTACGTGTTTGGAAATGTTACAGCTTCTGGAGTCCACATTGTACCTGTTAGAAACAAACATGTGGTAAGACCATTGAAGCTGGTGGCATCAAATTTAACAAGATTTAAGACAAATGAGCACCGACAGGAGCTTTATGAACAGATTTTACATCCAGGAACACTATTTTTCCTGTTATAATTCATCAGCATGTGACACAAATTTCCTTTCATATTTTACAGGTTTTATAATCTAAAAATTTTCAGCTGTATTGTAGACACTAATACAAAAGACCACTTGATCAGCCATCTCAAACCACTGCAAGAGAGGAAATCACATCATGGACTGGAAAAAAGCCAAAGTCATCCACTCAGAGAGCAGCAGATACTAACGTTGGATAAGGGGCGAGCAATGATCAGGGAGTGAGCTAAACCAGGGTGGGGGGGCTTTTATGCTGTCAGTGGGGCTGGGCGATATGGCCTCAAATCAATATCCCACTATATTGAGCAGTTCACCTCGATAACAATAAATGGACGATAACTACTCCACATGCAGGTCACTCTCTCCCACATTAACTTTGTCTACTTCAGCCACCGCTCCAGCAACTATAACTTTTGAATCGTCCTCCATCTCCTCACTTGTCTTTCCCTCTTTGTCACTGACTGGATATAGGGTGGAGTCATGTCTCCATTGTAGGACAACATCTTAAAGGGACATGAGACCATAGCCTACCTACACACATCCAAAACCAACTTTTATTTATTTATTTGGCACAGAATATATTGACATGAGCAAAATGATGTCGGTTATTGTCATAAATGTAGGGGCCTAAGTGTTCATAAATCAGCTGACAACATCATATGACTTTTGTGAGGAGCACTGCAGGAAATACTGTATGTGCTCAATGTGTCAGCCAAGCCAAAAGCCAGCCTAAGCTCAAACTCTTTGCCTATTCTTAAACCAGTCAGGTTCATTATAGAGCCAACTTGAACCTGGACTAGTTCAATAACCTCTTGGTCATTGTGTTGGGGCCTACTGGAGATTTTTGTTCCATTCAATTATCCAATAAACAGCGTCGTACTGTAAGACTTATTGAACGGGCAGAGTGTCCAAATAGCCTGTGTCTGTTTGACTTTATCGATAAGCTAGTTTTAATTAGCTGAAAGTGTCTGCCTTCGCCCTCACTATACCGAACCTGTTACATTGATTTATTTATCCAGCATGTTGGTAAGGATTGTTGTTGGCTTTTCCCTACGGAGAAAACAGTCGACTGTAGTGATGAGAACTCCAGTGATGTTTCATTACTTGGTCTGTTTAATTTGTCAGCTTGCTACCACACTGTGAGGTAGATGAGCAAGTGGATTGTCCACTAACAAGCTGTCTATTCTCTTTTTAAGTTCAGTAAGTGGACACCACCAGTCAGACCCCTGTTTACTGGGAAATAAATTAAAGCTCCTGTTGCGAGTTGTGGTGTCAAGCTCTTTAACCAATAAATAGTACGTTTACAATTTCTATACAAAATATACCTGATAATTAATGTATTTGACCTCAAAAGTTAGCAGGGTGTCCACAGGGGGCGCCAAATTTGCTCCAAAAGAAAAGTTTTTCACAGGAGCTTTAATTAGCTTATTTGTCATATACTATTAATTAGCCTTCAGTATGCTGTATAGTTTTAATAACTTGATGTTTGCCAGCCTGTTTACTTCCATTTGCATTCAGTCATATTATGGGATGTAGCTTCCACTGTTGCAGTTTAGGCCAAGGTGAGGGCTGGATTTCTGGCTTGAAAAGCACATATAAGGTCTTTAAAGCCACCGTCTTTCCAAGTAATGATGCAGGTTGGCCAAAAAGCAGCACATATTGTAGATTTAAACAGTTTTTTGTTTGTTTGTTTGTTTGTTTTTATTTTTTACTTTCATTTAAAAAATCATCAAAAAATAATGAACAATTCCTTTAAAAAGCATTAAGAATAGGATGTCTAAAAGTGTTGTATATATTTTAGTGCTTATGGCCTCTCCCTGCATTAGTATGTGGATTGTTTCACAACCAACTTAGTACTTGGAACATCTGAACATCTAAAACGACCTTGCAGACAGTAGGAGGGACACTTTGAGGTTAAATTATGCATAACACCAACATAATAGCATCATCACAAACAGTGGCAGTGTTTCATTTTATGTTCACATGCAATATAAGCCGCTGTCCTGCACACTCCAGTGAGTAATAAAAGCACATTTCTGTGCCTTGATTAAAGCTACTCGGGCATGTGAGGGATCTTTCTCAGCATTGATCAAGGATAGCAGCAAGGTGAGCTGAGCAGAATAGCAAAGTGGGTAAACAGACACTAATTCAATCAGCTGGGCTCTCGAGTGGGCCTGGAGAGGGTCCATTTTGAAAATTCTCCTTCCCTGATTGGACATCCAATTCTAGCAGAGATTGACCTGTTCATTAATCCTAATCAGGTGAAATAATCGTTTTACCAAGAACCACAGAGAGAGAAATTGCCTGGCCACATACCTTTGCTCTGTTACTCTAAATCCACATTGTGGTGTTTACAAAGCTCAGAGTACCCAGGTCTGAAATTAAATCATTTTATGTCCAATCAAACAAGTGGAAGGACTACTTACACATCAAACCTTAGATTCTGTTTCTCCTCAAAGAAGAAATCCAGAACAAATTTTCTGACAAAATCTGGATTCCTAGTGTTGTCGATGACCTCTGTTCTGCCAAACTATTGGAACAAAAGAAAAGGGGAAAGAGAGCAGTAAGTTATGAGTAAATATTTCTTTGTATGCAAGAAAAAGACATATGCAGCGCACAAGCAGCCCATATAAAGAAATAACCATGTGAGAGATTGGATTCATCTTCTTTGCATAACTATTTCCAAGCTATATTACTCTGAGCTCCATTGTGCCATGTGCTACAGTCGTGTCCCCAGAGAAATCATTCTTTTACCCTGAAAGCCCACAGAGTCCCGGTCCCAGCCTCCTACATGGGCCAGGCTGTCTCTCCATCTCCCTGACAATCACTGAAGTAATCCCCCAGATTGGACTGCCGGTCTCGCCTCTGGAGCCTGGCCCAACGGCACCGTGTAATGAGCTATTGATCTTGGCACTGCCTCACCTCAACCCTTGATACCTCTACTCATGTCTTTAGTGCCCAGTGCACATAATCCGTGCTATCAACTGAGTTCCCAGCCTATCCATTACCCAGGCCTCACAGGACAGGCTGCTGGTCGTCAGAACCTACCTGTCCCATCGATCCAGAGGACAGTCCCATGATACTTCCATGTTGTGTTTCTATCTTTGGGATTTGAGGCCTTGAGTGTGAACCCTGACCCAGTCGTGATTGGTTAATGAGTGCTAGGGCACTGTGAGTTCGGGTTGGGGAATTGCTTTGTTAAAGTTGAAGTGGTTTTGCTGTAATAGAGTGGTTTCATCTTGGATTGTCTTTGAAAACTCAAAACCAATCCATTTAATCCTTTGGTTATTGCTTTGACTTATTTCTTTTCACTCCTCTTGGCTTCTGTTAACTTTTCATTATCATAAAATGTTATTAATTCTTCTGTTTTTAATGTATTGAAGTCATCTCTCTTGTGTTACGCTGGTTTTTACAGCTGCCTTCTACAGGAATTTTTAGTTAACTGTGCTGTTAGCTGTGTCGGCCAGGACAACATCCAGTTTCTCTTCATTAAGTAAAAGTTAGAGATGTCAATTACTTGAAAACATATCTTAAGCTTGATTTCTGAGCAGCTCTGCTCCAAGCTCTTTTTGGGTGCAGTACACAACAGTTGTGGCTATGGACACAGACATTGGGAGCATTATAACCAAACCTTACTCTGTCTTTGGAGACAAAACTGACAGACTGGTGATAAGTCAATACAGTGAGACTCCCCAGACGGGCAAAGCAGGCACATATCTGCATACCAGAAACATCTGCGCCTCCTGTATAAGTTAATGTTGCTGCTGGACAGATTGTGACTAGATATTGTGGCCATGCTTATTTTATCATTAAGAACCAGTATAGAGAAACATGGTCGCTTGATTCTTGCATGTTTTATGTTCAGTTTGCTTGTTGCAGTAGTTCCACATTTGGGACCAAACTATTATGATCAACAATAACTTTAACATTAAGGACTCAACTTAAACTCAACCTGGATTCTTCTTTCATTAACCAGACTCAAGTTAGACTTGAGCACTTAAGACACTTGATTAGCCACTGACTTGAGGTTTGGGGACTCAATTGCACATCAATAATTATGATACATGATAGTTTTGATTTAATTTGACTTAAGCTCTGAAGTGTCAAGAGTGTTGGTTGGCATACACAAATGAGCTGTTGTGAATAATTTTTACATAAACCCTCAGTTTGATTCTGGTGACCGAGTATAAAGAGCAATAACAGAGCTTTAGGTGGGCTGTCCTAACAATGGATGGGTCAGTCGTATATGACCTACAGGAGACCACATATGAGTCATATGTAAAATCATCATGTGATGTACAAAGAACTTATTTTAATACAAACCATAAATGAACAGTTCTGTAACTTTTCACATGGTTAACAGCTCTTTGGAAAGACATCCGTATCTCCTATGAACACTTTGTTTCTGGAATTTACCAGAATATTTAGTTCTTTGTGTGTGCAGGTCTTCACTCTTGTTTGATAGCATGAAAACACACACAAACACACACAGAGTTGTTTATAGTTCCCAATGAACAGATAATGGTTTTTGAGAGTCTGCACGTGCTCGTACTTTGAGGTACAAACACTCTGAATCAGAGAACTATTTTAAGTAACATGCATAAAATCACAACAAAATAACCTTGCACAAACTAAAAAAAGAAACACTCCACAATAATAGAGGAAGAAAGGCTACCCAGAGACAGGATGTTACATCTTCAGGTTTAGTCATACAAAAAAGAAGATGCTATTTGCACAGACTTATTTTTTGCATGCTTGTAATAAATGTAACTAAACTCTTTGTCCTTCTACACAACACCTTTAACTTTTTAAATGTCAGGGTCAAAATGTAAACATGTTGTCAAAAGACAACAAAGGATTTTACAGGTTTACATGCAAGCCTGCATGTCTGCCCTGGTGTTGATCTGTGTTTGGCTGACAGCGAGATGTTTACTCTGCTGATTGCGTTGCAGTTCATGCAGCGATTTTGATTAAGCCCTGCCTCGTGGAATGAGAAGGTGTGAGGAGTCTTGGAGTGAGGGGATCAGGAATAGCAAAGCCCTCTCTGTCACATTAATGTTGACTTTGGGTTTGTAAATGGGTAAATACACGGGCCAGGGACAGAATGTCATAGGCAAATTAGACGAGGTAAAATGGGCCGAAGAGACATGCTGGAAAAAAAAGGAAAGGAGGAAGGAATTTAAAGTGACAGTAATGAATGGAGGGTCTCATGACCCCACCTTAAAAAAGAGTGACAGGGGGTGAGACAGCCAGAAGACGAGGGGAGCAGACGGTGCATATTTGATGAGACCGAGGGAGTTGCTTCCCTTCCTTCCCCTCACATTTGCCCTGATCTGAATTCCCTTTACTATGACAGAAACATGAATGTTTTGATTCTTTTTCATTTTTGTTCTTTTACCTAACCTATTAAACGATATCCTGCAAACCTTGAATTTCATCTCATGTTTCATTTTCAGCTCTGACAGTCACTAGCAAGAATTCATAACCTGAATATAAGTACTTTCCAAGTGTTCAACAATGAGTACAAGTCTGAGTCTTGTTTTTCTCAGAACCAATCCAAGTCAGGCCCCATTCCAGGGCCAGCCTGATTTAACCTGGTCTCATTTGACTTGGCCTGAATCAATGAGGACTCTAACTGTCAAGTCCTCATTACCTGGGTCTCACTCCCAGTCTGGGCCTAAGCCTGAGCCTGAATCAAGTCTTTCTTACCTTGGTCTTTAACTATGTCTCCAATTATTCAAGTCCATCTCCCACTTTGCTAGCCAGTACAAGTCAAGTCCTTAATACCTGGGTCCAAACTTCAGTCAAGTCTTCATTACCTGAGTATTACTCCAGTTTGGTGTCCAAGTTGAGTGCTTCATACATAAGACTTAGTCTAAGTCAAGTCCTCATTACCTGAGTCCAAGTCACCAAAGACTCCAGCTCTGGTCCATGACAAGTTTGAATCACCCAATGAATAAAAGTCAAGTCCTCATCACTTGAGTCAGAGTCTGAGTCAAGTCCTCAGTTCCATAAGCCGCACTCCTAAATATCTGAGCCATAACATAGTCAAGTCCCCGTTCTCATAGTCAGAGTACAAATCAGGTCTTCTTTACCTGTTTTCTCGTCTGAGTCACAGCTCAAAATCCAAGTAAATTCATGTTACCAGGGCTGAAGTCCTGGGCAAGTCTTCATTACCTGAGTCTAAGTGACAATCAGAGTCTAAGTGTGTCACCAAAAAAGAATCCAAGTAGAATCCCCCATCACCAGGCCCCAATTCCGAGTCTGCTCTTCATTAACTGAGTCTGAGTCCTAGTACAAATTGAATCCTAAATACCTGAATCAAAGTTGAGTCTGGTTCCTAAAACATGAGTCAAAACGTGAGTTAAACCCCCATTAATAAAATCCTATTAAGGATTGGGTCTTCAGTACCCAAGACTCAGTTGAAGTCAAAATGTCATCACCTGAGTCCAAGAGCATTTCAAGTGCGCATAACTTGAGTCAAAGTTAGAGAAAGGTCCTGAATAACCAAAAGTAGTCCAATTCAAGGTTGAGTCATAAGTCCTACATTGTTTCAAGAAAACAATATTTGGTTATAATTAAAACAAGTGGATGCTTTCTTACCTCCCTCCATTCTTTGGTTCCCACACCCTGTAGATACAACACGACCACTGGGGGGGAAAGAGAAGAAGAAGCCAAAAGGAAAGCATGAAGAGAAATCAAGAAAAAGAAGAAGAGGTTAGTCAGTTCTGTTGATTAGTCTGACAGTGTTTGAGTATTGGCACCTGCAACACTTAGGTTAGAAAATCAATAAGACCCCCATCTATTTTCATTAGATTTGGTGTAGCCAGAAGCAACGTCAAAAGACAAAATCCATTACACCGTTTTTAGGCTGAGAAGCTTGTGACATTTAAATGATTTATGTATGTTTAATGTAGAGAGACTACAATCACCCTGAATGAGGCAAAACAGCGTTGCATACGTCCAAAGTACATGCAAAAGAGATAAATCTCTGCATGCTCTTGCATACTCCTGGAGATTGTGGGTTTTTTTTCTGTTGGCTTTCATGCAGGACTCTCTATGTCTGTTAATATCTGTTCCAACAAAAAGAAGAACCGATGTGCAGTAAGTGTTGTGCTACAGCCCAAATGAAGCTGCTATTAACTTTAAGACACTGTCTTTAAAGTTGGGAGAACAATCAGTGCTGATCAATTCATTGTGTTTGTCACAACTATTAAGGTGTGGGATAACACTTTTGGACAAATACATCTTTGTTAAGACCCAAGGCTGTCTGCACCATTTGTCCTCTGATGTTTGGTTGCATGTACTTGATCACAGCTGCTTCGAGAGCTCCCAGGTGCTGCTGCTTATGTACAAAAAACAAACATTGTACCAACAATTCCCCCACCAGGAGTCCAAACGCCTTTGGGTAGCAAATGAAATCTGTTGTAGAATAACAGGAGGAAAGATCTAATTATGTAATGCACTGATGAAATTCTGCTTTGATAACGGGTTAATCTACTCAGGCTGAACCTAACACCAACCTCATGCCCTTGTCAAATAATCTTATTTGTTGGTGACTTTGCCTGTGGTCATATCAGAAGAGGTTATAAAAGTTTAACTCGCCAGTGTCAGAATCAAGTATACAGAGGCTACCGCTGTATATTTGCGATTTTTTCCCCCTTTGAGCTGATAAACTGTCTTGTTGGATCCCAAAAGAAATTCTGGTGCCAGATTGTTAAAGGAGGACAACAGAAGAAGGAATAAGACAAGAGCATGTAAATGACATCAAATATTAAGGAAAAAGAGTTTAGGGGCTAATAGCATCACTCAATGAAGTGGACATGAAGTTTGAAAACTTTTACTGGCATCCACAAAGTTTTCTCAGTTTGACAGAGTTGGTACATCAATATCTCTGAATACCAGCGACATCAGTGCAGACTGAGCGTGTATTTTGTGACGGTGTTGCATTCCAGACAACCAGGTCATTTTTCTCAATAAAAACAAGTATGCAGAAAGTTAGATACTGAGTATCTAAAATAGTTTTCTCTTCAGCTTGTTGCAGCAATTACCCATCTTGTATTTTGAGTCTCAGTATTGATATATTTCAATGTTCATTATCTTGTTAAAAAACTTAATTACCTTTATGCAAGTCCAGTAGCTTTACAATACTGCCAGCTTTGTAGGGCTGGAATCAACCAAAGAAATTGTTGGTTGACTAAACCCTGAAATTTTTGACCAAAAATCGACTTGGGTGGGGGGGGTCAGACTCTGGCGGCAAACTGCGGCGAAGGCGGACGCAGCTCGGTGAGTTGAAAATATACTGATATCAGCAAAAGAATGTAATTAAACACAAAAAGCAAGTTGAAATGCTCAGACAAAAATAAATATTCAGCAAACGACCGGACGTTGATTAACATGGACGCTCTTCAATGATCCCGTCTCCAGCCAGTCTCCAGTGGGTTGGGCGAATCTAAAATGGTGAACACAAGGGGGGTGATCAGAGACAGGCTGTTACCTATGAAACAGGGATGCTACGACAAGGAAAAAAACCGAGTCGACCAATCAGAATTTGGGTCGACTAGGCATGAATCGACCAATGAGTCAACCAGTCAACTGGGACTTTACAGCCCCACAGTTTTGATTGACAATGTCCTTCATTTTTGAAGCTAAACATCAATGTATTAATTTACTGAGGTTAGCGCATGGATTGGTCAGGTCACGCCCTCTGCTGGGTCATATGTCAAGCTATTTCAGGTGGCCCTTTTATACTGAATTATATCAAACACAGAAAAAAGTGTGGGGAGTTTCACTTTACTTTCTTTTTTGTTTAAACAGGGAAAATTAAGAAAAGACAGGAACAAAAGCCTAAAGGTAGGGAACATTTACGACAGCAAAAACTGGAAAAATATCTCACAAACTGTCTGACAGAGACTGGGATGCTGGTAAATATATGTTTAATCCTTCTTTATATAAAAATTACAGTCTCAGTAATGTGTTGGCATTAAGCTCGGGATTGTTGAAATACAAGAAATCTCGTTGAGTTTAAGCCTCAGTTTGTGTCCCTGGGCTATAATTATGCTCTACTGTTTTCAAAACCCTACTGAGGTTTATTCTCCAAACTTTGCAGATATCTTTGCTGGAAAATTTTGCTTTGAGTGCACCCACAAAAATATGCAATAAAGCAGGAGCAGCCCAATTATAAGACACACATTCATCATCTTCTACGTCTTGGTTAGACACACTATGTCCATGCATAGAAGAAAACTAAAAGAAAAGCTGGTTAAAGGCTGTTACTGGATGTATTTATAATTGGCCAAGTGTTTCAATTTGTGTCTAGACAGGCGCAAACAGCCTCTGTGAAGTTTGGACATTAGCTGTAATGAACTTCAGACTGTCTCGACTGGCAGACAATTAAAACCACATTTTCCTCCTAATGAGCAATTACCAGAGGGCAGATAAGAGAGAAAGGGCAAGCTGCTAACTTGTGGGGCATTGTGTCTTTGAAATATAACAATGATGTTTTTGTCAGATTATTATCTGTACTGGAGTCGTAACGGCTGCTGAATAGGATGATTTTGAGAATAACGAGCTTCTAAGCTGGTGAATAACGTGAGGCTTTGATGAAATTACAGAGAGTAAAAAAGCCTGACACACTCCAGGACTTTTATTTCTTTATAGTAAAGTCATACACCGATGATCTGTCTGCCACAAACACTGAAATAATGATGTTCAAGATGCACAGTCTGCCTCTGCATTGGAGATAAAAGTCACAGGGATTTCAATGTCCCCCCACGGTTTCAGAGTCTCAGCAGCACAGCCCGACAATAGGCTCAGACTCATGGGTGTGGAGGCTACATCAGTGTCCGGAGACCTTGGCTGATTGCCTGTTTTATGGAAAGTGACTGAAAAAGGAAGGAGCCCATCTGGGAAGCCACAGAGCAAATACATCATGAAGCAAAAAGCAATTCCTTTACACTCTGAAGCCCACTCTGGCTACAACTCCTGACAGGAGTCTGGCTGCAGGATAGATACCTCAGGTGACTCCAGACCTGAATGAATCAGAGCATGAGTCGAATAATGTTCACATTGGGTCCACATCTTAACAGAATGAGGTACAGAGAGCGCTGCGGGGGCACAGAAAGAGGATATTACTTTGAACAAACAGGGATGTGCAAAGCATTTCAAAGGACCCCCTGAACTCCCCCTCCCTGCTGGCCCCCCTCATACTATTAAATATGGATCACCTTTCGGATGACCCATAATTACTTCAAGACACACTTTATTGGAGATAAGTAGATCACACCTCCTTTAGCTACCTCCCACTAATAGTTGTCCTTCTGCCCAAGTCACCTCTTTAAACAGACTTTCTTCCTACTTTTTACAACTAGCAAAGCTGAGTTACAATCGAATAATAATGCTAACCTTTTCTGGAAAGATCACAAAGCTATTTGAAGACAGCAGGATTTTTAATTCCTATTTATATATATGAAAGTCAATAAGGAGGACTTTACTGATCCCTGAAGGGATATTCAATAATATTAATAATAATACAAAATTCAATGCAACAGGACATCCTAAATACATAAGAATATGAGGCTTTAGAGTTAGAGAAGACACTTTTAGATGTCCAACATTATGCAAAATGATGCTTTTGCACAAAGGAATGATGTGTTATGGGTGGGTGGGTGTCCTGATCTCATGTTAATGCTACTGCAGAAAAACATGGCGGTGCAACATGCAAGCCTCCAGAGCAAAGATCCACTGTTTCTATGAATTTTTCTTCTCTCTAGATAATCAGAAATGAAACAACTGTGATACTCCTTTCACTTGGCAATGATGTATTCCATTTCTTTGGGAAAATGCTGCTAAATTATTGACTCGGCTATTCTCTCCTTGATTTAAAAGTAATCATATTTCTTCTGTTGAAATAAACTCCATTTGAGCTGCATCACTGAAGAGGCCAACTCTATATTATAAAGTCTAACTTTTGAGGACATGCTTGATTTAGCTGAGGAAAATGTCTGCAGGATCTAGTTTAGGAGACACGTTTTAGACTGACAATAAAACTCAGTATTTGCTTCTTGTTTATAGACTACAATTTGGATGGTGCTGGACATTCCACCACACCATTAGACTTTCCAAATGCTTGACAGCAAAAATGTTGCTCTGAATACTTAGAATGCATCTTGTTTTAAGACTTGAAAATGAGCTTGCAAGTCTGGTCATAAAAGTGACCAATGTGTTTGAGAAAAGCCTGCAGTGCAGAACCTGGTGAATCAGCACCCTCAATCCTCGGGTTAGGCCTCCAAGCTGAATTATGTGGGTAAAACAAAAACTAATGAACTAATCTAAGTATGAACAGTGGCTGGGAAAAACTGGACTTTAGTTTGACATGCAGGTGCCTTAACAAAGGGTCGTTAAAATGTGGATATAACTGCCCATTGATGTAGTTTTGAGTTTTGCTTGTTAGTTTATGTCAGGAGTAATGTGAAGTAAATTTAACTGGGAAGAAGAGCCGCAGCAGAAATAAAATTCTTTTAGTTTCATTTGTAAAATTTACTTTGTGTTTTGGTTAAGCAAGATGCTTCTAATCTGTTATTTAAACAGATTTCTGCAGGATATAAAGAATATGTAATCTTCAGTGTATAATGAGCAAGAAAAGCGAAAAACTTGTTACTCTTTGTGTAGTTAAAACCTCTGTCAGGGCGCTGACAGCAGGGTTGGGGGTTCCTGTAATTGAATTACATTTGTCTGTAAAGCAGTAATGCAATTGTCATGTTGCTAATTTAATGATAACATTACTTTTTTCTTATTCAAACAATTATCCAATGACTTCAGTTGTACATTCTTTAACTATCTGCATTATGAGACGGAAAAAAAGTTCATTTTCTCACATGTTTTCTCAACACTGACTTCACTCACAAGGTGGGACGGTGACTTTGGCTCAAGGTCATGTAAGGGGAGTGCAGTGAAGTGTGTCCTGACCACAAACATATCTCTACTGGTGCAAACTCAATATAAATACCCCCATTCCACTTCAGTGAAAGTTGAGTCTGTCTCTTTCACTGTAGTCTCCTTTATCCCATCATCACAACCCTCTGTTCAGCATGTATCCACCTGTTGTTGAGCACAGTACCTGCAATGAGGTGAGTGCGAACAAGCAGGGCCGTGTCCACACCTTTTGACTGGGGTGGCCCAACCGGAGCCCTGACTTACATCGGGGTCGATGAGAAATCATTCAAGGCCCGTCTCTTTTACTGTGTAATTCTTTTTTACTAACTATCCTAACCCTGGTTGAGGGTATTGATAATGCATGAGTGCTCTTTGGTTCTCATCCTGCTGACAGCAAGAGTCATCCATTCAAAGGATTTTCTGACCAGGGATTCCTTGCAGCCTGCTCCTTGGATTTGTGCTGCAGGGGTCTATAATCAGAGAACGGGCAGACGTCAACAGGATGCAACATGCTTACTTTAAGAGGGCGGAAGCTGCTCAATGTGAGGCAAGACTGAGGGAGCGGTATGGAGTAGAGAGGGGATTGTGTAGGAGTGGGAGAGCCGAAAGAGGACAAAGCTGAATATTAAGGAAGAGGACTGGAATAATAAGAATAAGAGATGAATTGATGACATTGGGAGGAAAAGACAAAGACGAGTCCAGCAGAGGCCTGAGCCTTATGTAAGATGATGGCAGATTCCAGCTGTAGAGGATAGGGTAGGTTTTAAAGGTTTCACTGTCAGAAATCCCTCACTGATACACCTCCAACACAGCAATTTAGGTGAGACACGGTGTGCACACATCCCGGCTAATCTCTTGATCTCCTGCCAAGAAAGGGATAAGGCGAGAAAGCCTCGATCCTTCTGAGGCCAATTCTTGAACCTGTGCAGTGCAGCTAGGACAAAGCTACACAGCTGTGAGCCAAAACAGGAAGAAACCCTGCAACAGGCATGGTCTCTTTGATGAAAATGCAGAATCCTCTAAGCCTGGATCACATGAAAAACACATCCCCGGAGCTGAGATGGCATAGGTTCCCCCCTCACTCTTAAATCAAGTTAAAGTAAGGTGGTGTTACTCTGGCTATAAAAGAGTTACAGGTAGTGCAACTTCAGTAAGATTAACATGTCTACTTGTATTTTAAAAGTCCATTTTCAGTTAGACTAACTGCAACAAGGTTTTTGAGGCTTTCATAAACCTTTATAAGCGTAATAAATCCCAGGACCAATTTTATGGAGTTGTTGAAGGTACATACTGCTGTCTTTAAATCCTTTTCAGTCATTAGCATTTGCACGGATCTGTGATGACAGCAGTGTTTGTACATATTACAGATAAATGTTTGTACGATGGAGTATTTGAGCCACATTAAGAAAAGATTAAAGTAGTTACTTACGAGGATGAAGTAATTACTTACTATCTGTTGTTTAAGATGACAGTTGTCGAAATGAGAGCCATGGAGTATTTTGTGAAAATGTATTTCAATCAAGGTTATTCAAACAAGGTGATACTTCATCTTTTGGCACATCAGCACCACATTATCATATTTATCATAATGATTTTATTATGAATTTATTCTTGTAAGTAATTACTTTATCATGACTTTATTCTTGCTAGTAATGACTTTATTCTCGTCCAGTAACAACATTAATCTTAAAGTCTTTTTCCTTAATGTGGCCCTTATACTCCGTCGTACTATTGTGTGCCTGTTCACTATTCAATAGATTCTCCATGCACAGCGGTCAGTTTTCAGTGTGTTTCAAGTGACACAGCACATCCTGCTTTATAACTGCTGTACATTTTTATGTCCAAATTGCAATTGTCAAATATTAAATACCCCCCCCCCCCACACACACACACACACACACACACACACACACACACACATACACTGTTTTATATCTGTTTGTTTATTGCTTTCGTAAATGGGGGCATCCAGTAGCCTACTTAAGCCCCAGAAAAAAGGGGTTCAGTTATTTTTAAGGATCTAACCATGCTCTCAAAAAAGAAAGCTGTAGATTTAACAGTCCTTGTTTAGTCTTGTGTATCAGTACATCTCTGACCTGGAAGACAGTTGTGCTTTTGAAAATTTCCAAATGTAGGTGGACACTAAATGTCATGGGGATGGATGGACGACTGTGAACCTCTGAAGCAATAGGGGGTTGCTGAGTCTTTCCTCTGATCTCCTTAGGGGACCATGGGGGTAATTAGAGACCAGTGACCTTTATTTTGATGGCATGATTCAGGCCTTTTCTTTATTCACTTTAACCACCAAGCATTCCCACTTGACCAGCTCATGAAGGAGGAACTAAAACATGTAAAATAAGAATAAGGAAACTGTAATGACATAAAACTCCTCTGTCATTTCTAAAACCTGTCATTTCCAGCACCTTTAAAAGCAGACCTGCCTGCTGTTCAGAGCAATTTTCACAAAGTGTTAAAAAAGGTGATATAAAAAAAGAGAAAAGAGCAGGCTTCTAAATCATGCAGAAACAGCCTTAATCGTATACTTTATATACTCGAGTCTAATCTTTGAGATGAGTCATTTTCAGATGAGGCATTAAATCGGATTTTTTGAACAAACTCTCGGCACTAAAACCGCACCTGCAGAGCTATAACAAAACATTCACTCCTACCTGCTAGTGAGTCACAAACCTACAAGCAGATACAACAAAAGAAATGCACAGGAAGCACCATGTAGTTCATAAAAAAATTAACAAAGATGACTCAGTATCTTGGCAATGAGAAAATTGATTTGATACGCATAATTGTATTTAATTTGTATTACTCCCAGAGTGGTGGGAGGCCGTCTCTCCTGCAGATTGTAATAGTGTGAGCACACATGCTTGTGGATGAAACTGTCAGCACTCCACAGGAAAATGGTGTTACATAAGAGAAGTGGGATGTTTCATATGGGAGTCTGATAGATAGATGTTTAGATGATGGGGGATAGAAAGAAAAGAGCCACATAAATAATGTAAATCATATGTAACTTCCCCAGTTTCACAGAAAAATTTTCCTCGAGTTTGCTCTTTCAACAAAAGTAAGACTCTCACATCGATTCTGCGAGACAGGTGCGTAGGAGAGGAAAGAGGGCACCTGGAGCTGCAGAAGACAACTCCAGCGGCATGCATTTAAATGTTTGTGCAACACTTCTGTGTTAGACATTCATTAGGAAAAGGGTTTGTGACAAGAGAAAACATCTTAAATAAGAAGTAGCAGGAAGTCTGCACCGAAGCACATCCCCTTATTTCAAATGTTGTAGAAAGAATAATGAGAACATGTCACTTTATTTTAGTCGATACAAGTCTCAATCTCAAGACTAGAAATGTCAAATGGTCTTCATGGTAAGTACAGTCATAAGAAAATAAAGTCTTACTGTTGCAAAATTCAATATATTTTTCAGAACACTCATGAACACTAAAGCCTTTTATTATCATCTTCACTTTGTGCTTTTGCTTTTCACGCAAACACACATGCCTCCTCCTACTTCCCCTGCTCTCCTCCCATCATTCGTACTGCTGCAGAACAATATGTTGGAGATACAGCAATCTGCCTTTAACATTAAAGACCCACTCCAATGAAAATCATGCTTTTCTTGTTGTCTACATGTTTATGTGGCACTTTTTTCTGATACTACAGGACATATCATGGGAAAAATAAGCGCGAAATTGCATTTCTGAGTATTTCTGCATTCAAATGGCTGTGAACCTCTCACAGACCCAAACGGTAGGCTCAGGCACATTGAGGTTTCCTACGCAACAACTCCAAGCTCCGCCCCCAGAACCTGCCATGCAGGCCAGACGAGGAGAAATAGAGAGGGCGATTTAACGGCATAGGGGGACACCACATGCTTCACCATTGTGGAAGAGGAGGAAGGTGTGCGTCATTTACCTTAATGAGTGCATCACAGCAGTCTTGGTTTCCGTATTTTCATTATGAGGTTGAATTAATCGCTCATCTATAACAGACCCGAAACTTTTACATGTATTTTAAGATAAGTCATCATCACACAATGATAGGTGATGATTGTTAACAGGTTGAGTGGGTGCAGACTTACAGCCAGTTTGTGTTTGAGATTGTATCCATTGTCAACCGTCATTTTCTCATTGAACGTCAAACACTGAAACTTTGCAGAGAAATATATATATATAAGAAAATACAGCACGCATGAGTGTATTACAAGTTTTATCTTTTCAACTTCAGAGGTTTTGATGAGCCAATGTCATCTGTGATTTTCCTATTACCGTGCAGCTGAAATAGTTTGGATGTACAGCCGGAAATTACGCTTTTTGAAGTGCAATAGGGTTACTTCAGTGGGAGAAAAGCTTTGCCAAACACAAAGCGATACAGCCACAGCTGCTCAAATGAAAAGAAGAATCTCATGAATTCCATTATTTTCATCTGGGTCCAAAGAAATGTATCATACAGACGCATTTGTCCCTGACCAAATGACAGAATTTCTTTTTTCCTCCCAGTCTATGATCTCTTCACAGATTTCACTTCTTCTTATTACCGCCTGTTCAAATGGAGAGGGATTTCATCCGCTCAGGGGGAGTGCATGAGTGCTGTTTGCATCCCTCCAAGGGCAACGTCAATGTGTTTGAGGTCACACATGCCTGGAATATGTTAAACCCCAGTCAAGACTGAACAGAGGGAGACTGCGCAAAGGGTCGGCATGAGCATCCAACTAACCAGCAGCAAGGCAGAGCGTTGTCTTTGCAGAGAGCTTTGTGTTATAAAAGAAACATCCCACATCTAAGAAACAACCTGACACCTTCTCTAAAGCTCTGATTGACAGCACAAATTAACACGCAGCGTGTCTGAATACTCGCCAATCTGCTTACATAACTTCAACAAGAAACGATTGTAATGTCAACCAGGGATGGACTGATCTGATTTTACACTATATGATGTTAGAGAGGGATTTCATCAAAAAAAGCCGTTCAAGCAGGTTTTAAATGACTGAGAAAAGCATTTCACAAAATTGCTCACATTTAAGTCTTTTCATGCTGTTGTCTAACTGTTCAAGGTTTTTTTTTTTTAACACTGCAATAATCTTTTTAAAGTAAAACCAGTTAAAAATGATGGAAAAGAGTCAACAAAAATAAAACAGTATGGGCATTACCTTTTTCAAAAATACCTTATTTTACATATCTGCAACACAATAGAGGGGCTCTATAGTTTTTATCCATACAAGCAGCACCAGCAGCCATTAGTCTGTACACACCCTTCATATATTTTACCAACAACTGTACAGAATGTGCAGTAATTAAAGGGATATTCCCAAAGTTTAAACCATAGTCAAACACACCGTAACACTGAGTTAGACACCCCCGCGAGAGATGAATGTTGCTGACCACTTCCTTCTTTAGTTAGACCAACTTTAGCAAAGACTGCACGATAGCAATACGACGGTCTATGTCTCCACATGCAAACCTCAACCAAAAAGCCACTCTATAGCCACAAATAATGCTCAGAACAGCACCTAACTTCATCAACAGTACATATAGGGTCCCAGCCATATTACTAGCCATCAAACATTTCTTTTTAGCTTTGCCTGGTTTCTTCAGCAAAGAGACCAAACGCAACTAACCAACTCTCCTCCAGCAGCCACTTGTTAGTGGGGGAGCCCTGACTAGTCAATCACCAAGTAGCACTTAATAGAAATGTTATCAGAGTTCAAGTTCTCGGTCTGATTGCAAAGGCATTTCAGGAGTATTAAGAATGAGCAGAAAGTTAACCAAGACAACAAACCACTTGCTGCAGAAAGTTGCAGGGTCAAATACATCAAACTTAACCAGCATCTGTAGGATTACCGCCCAGCATCACAGGCTAGAGTACGTGTGGTAGGCCTACACATAATAAGTGAGTGAATATGAACTTAGTGGGAGGGTACTTGATGTAATTTTGAGTAATCACTTATGTTGTGGGGGAAAGTTGGAGTTAAATCTACTTTTTTTTTCTCCGAAAACTTAACACAGGGGAAGTTGGAGAGTCGTCCTATAGACCCTCAAACAGACCGCCATCTTTCTTTCAAGCCTCAATAACCTTTATGTAGCAGGTGGGCAGCCTCTATTACGCCTGAAAGGCAAAACTCAGGGTGAATAATTTTTCAAAGGCTTCTGCTGACCATGGGGCTTAATGGTTTTTTAGTATAGGGTAATAATTCAAAGGAACGCAGAGTAAATGTATATGTATCAACTCTCTTTGCATGGCCGGAGGTTTTAAGATCTGAGAAAATATTGAATAAGAATAAAAAAGGAGAGTTGCCCATATCAAAAGAGGGGAAAAGCCTGAATGTAACTCAGCAGAGTGAAAAGAGCCTGAAGCTTTCTCCCCTGCAAAGAGAAAGGGTTCTAGAATGAAATATACGGTCTCTCTCCTCCAGTTATCCTCTGTTTTGCTTCGTTGTTCATATTCATCTCAAACATCAATAAGAAATCACTCTCAAGCCAGCTTTCAAGTCCTCCACTTCAAGAAGACACACGATGATTGCAGAGGTACAGTATATCTCTGCATGTGTGGGTGGACACTAAGAGGCTTCAGGTAATTTGATGGCTGAGTCAAAGAAACTCAAATTTAATTTACACAATGACCGGGCAGCGTGATCCAACATCCCCCAAGGACGAGCTCTGAGTCATCGACATATTAGATAAGGAGAAGTGCTTTAAGATCAGGCTTTGATATCTCGGCATATTATCGTTGAAAAACCACAGCCAACAAACAACAGCAGAGCGACACACATACACAAACTTTCCTCTTAAAGCATAGACAAGAACTGATGACTAAAACTCTGGAGACATAAAACTACTTCACATCCTGTTTTCACATTCTCGAGGACAATCTGACATTCATCTCCAGTAGAAAAAGCAAAGCAGGAATTTCAAACTGAGCTGAAGTAAGAGAGAATAGCACTAACAGGATCTCTGGGTATCATTAAGTATCCTCTGATATCAGGCTCTTAAAAGCGTTGGAGCCTTTGCAGCTCTTTCTTTTTGTTACGTCCCAAATAGATCTGCACGTGCTGCCATGTCTCATGTCTCATGTCTGAATCTCACATGATAATATGCACTTTTATCATCATAGCCACTCTGGCTTTTTTGATCCTGTCTCTCATAGCCTGCAGTAAACTTTCAGGAGCTCAGTTTCTCCCGTAAATTTGATCCTGAGAGTTAGAGTAAGATATTAGAATGAGCTGGTCCAATAAAGCACAATAGTGGACATTTACTCGAGCAAAGTTCGTTAAAGCGCATTTTTTACGATGTTAACAAACCTCACATGCATTAATGCATCACTATAACCTGACCATAGACTGTTACCCTCACCCAGTTTGAACCTGTGTATCAAAAATAGGCTTTACCTGACAGATTCATAGAGAATGAAGCAAAAGCACAGATTTGACTGATACTGCTGCCTGCGTATATACAACAGAAACTCTTTGTCAAACCCGACCCTCCTCACTCATACTCCGCTGTGGAGTAATTCTGTTTAAAGCAACACCCACAGTGGAATGAGGCATGCACCATTAAAGGTGGAGGGATCAGACACGGCAGACAGCTTTAGGATAAACCCCCCTCACACTCCCTCAAATACAGGAGCCTCGATTTACCATAAATCCCTGTCACAAAAATAATAACTGCACATCAGCAAGGTTTGACAATAACTTTTTCGCTCACCAGCCACCAAAGCTAGTGGTTTTTCAAAGTATGGTACTCTCGTTCTTCTTTATTCTTTGAATTATGAAAGGGACCTTGTCAGAGTGTGTATTTACATCTGCTGAGTGTAATTTTTCAAGGATCCATGAAGAGGACACTTGTCCAAAGTCACCATTTAAAGTACCAGAAAAAGAAAATGCTCTACAATGAAATGGAAAAAAAGCGCCTAAGAACCTGTTCAACACAACTCAACGCTGATTTCAACATAAGGGCAGAAGTTCAGGAATGACTAATCAAATTTAAGGGGTGACCACAGCCAACTCGGTTCACCCTCTGGCTTCATCACTGCTGCTAATCGAACAACAACTCACCGACTACAAGTTCAAATGTTTTACATTAACACTATGGTTATGTTAGATTGTGTAGTGCCGGGACAAACAGGATAAAAAAATATCTAAAATCTGTTTTGCTTAATTAAGTGTTTTTACAGCGTCATGGCATGTTTACATTCTACTACAAACCCCAGCAGTTAGTTTCTCTGAGTGTTTAAGCATTGAAATCATAGACTGTATATAGAATGGACGCCATCTGTCTCCTCACTGGGTGAAGAGCATGAGTGCAAAAACAGCACCCTCTGGTGACGGGCTGCAGGATAGGTCAAAAATCCCGCCTCCTCCAGCAATCCCTATGGAGATGTGGACAAACTTCAGAAATGGATTACACAGAACATAATTTTTTCTCCCCCTGCTTGCGATGTAAACATGTGGTTACTGTAAGACTGGTTTGTGCTCAAGTCCTCTTTTTTTTCTGTGCAGCTCCATTTTTAAAAGTTATTGGGGGGTTCATGTTTTCTATGATTGACACTTGATACAGCCTGTGGGCGTATGAAGATTGCGTAGCTCACCCGGGAGATACGCCGTTTGAGCAGAGTGTCATCACAGCGACTCACAGTGACCCTCCCGTCGAATACCTACAATGCTACTGCACAAGTGGTGGTTCCAGGAAGTCCCGGAAATACTGAAAGCAATTCGGCTTCATATTCGCGTAACGATGGAAAGCAGAGCCAAGTTGTCCATACTATATACAGTCTATGGTTGAAATGCATTAAAGCAATTTCAAATAAATGATTAATCCTGGACAATTTCAGTCTTCCATAAGCAGCTAAAAACTCCTCACAGGAGCTTTAATATTATTATTTTATATGGGCCTAACTATGTCTATGCAGTCTTTTACTCCATTTAACATTCTCTTTTCCTCAATTAGAAAAAAAAAAAAACTTGATTGTTATATTTTTCTAATTTTCCACCAACTAATCAATTGATTGACAGATAAATATATTGTTACCGATAATTGAAAACCACACCTGAAGTGCATTCATGCGACCTCCTCTGATAGGTCACACTGATGAAATGATGAAAACATGTCATCCATCATGACCTGACATGTTGTGAGCAGATTAGGTGCAGTAATGGACCCTGACAGCGTGTTCTGATGTGCATGTTGATGGATGGCTCTCTGTTCTTCATTGCTTATAAATAGTTCTACCTGACACCTTCTATAAACTGACATACGCATCCACAAAGTCTTTCAGAAATAGATTTTCATGATGAACAAAAACCCAGCGGCTCCACACGTGCCTCTGTGGTACGTGCTGCGACTCAGCCACTCCAGTGAATGCAATGAAACATGTTCATATGTGAGGTGTATTTTAGTTTCTCACCACTCTTGTGCAATTGGATGGTATATTCAAGGCCTTTTGGCCAATCACAGTCCATCTGTGTTAAAAATGGGCTGGAGAGCTGCACTTCAGGGCCTCTTTATCGCTTTTGCTGCCTACTTACACTCAGAGTTTGATCTATTTGTCAGGACTTTTATTTTTAAAGTAATCCTGTCGATGTTAGGGTTGGTGTCAAAAAGGTTCAGCTGTTAAATTTCTGCTCATCAGATTATTATTTTAAGCCACTTGATATAATTACTACCTTGTCTATGTTTTGACCAAAAGTTTTCCTCTTAGAGATGAGTGGTTTGTTAGCAGTTGAAGAAATCCTACAATAGTCATCATAAATTTTTGCTTTCCCTTCCTGTAAACTTCTTTCCTTCATCAGTTACGCAAAATGCTTTATCCCTGCCAAACTCCATACTTAGGTGAAGCATGCATGGTTTCATTGATTCACTTGAAGCAAGGGTGGATAAAAGTGGCTGATTGAGTAGCTGGATCCTCTCTCTCTCCTGCATGCCTCCCACACTGTTAAAAACTTCCTATAAATAAGCTGCAGGCATATCACTGTCATGGTTTCACTCTCATGTAGCTTTGCAGCCAAAAATCCAAAAGCGGAGACTCGGCAGATGCAAAAGCTCTGACTGCAAACATTAAAACTGAGTGGAAATAAACAGAATATCAGATATTCAAATAATACAATATGATGACACATGCCCTGTGTCTGCAGGGTACCTGGCTTCAACTGAGGGTCCAGAGTGTGGGCAGGTAAAACTCCATGCAGCAGCTGCAGCACCTAATGAGTTGAGAAACATTCTCATGTGCTTAAATCAGTTTCTTTTCTTTGAGCCAAGCTCTAAACCCAGGGTCGAAGGATACATCACTTGAACATTGCAGCTGCTGTGTGTGCATGCACAGTAATCTCAGTCAGAGGGTCAGGGATTCGATTTCAGGTCCACATAGCGAAGTGTCCTTGGATATGACACAATGTATGAAGGGGATCACTGATGAGAGCCTTGTATAGCAGCTTCTTTCATCACTGTATGAATGTCTGTGACATATACTATAAAAGAGCTTTGAGGAAAAGTTGTACAAATACAGTCCTTTAACCATTTTCACTCACAGGAGCGTCACACATCAGTCAAATGATGGTTCAGTTCATGCTAGGGCTGCATGATTTTGGCCAAAAATAAAATCAAGATTTTTTTCTCAGAAACTCGATTTTCAATTTCATTTTTTTTATTCAGTGACAACTTCACCAAACTTCACTTCTATAATAACTTTGGCTGTGATCAAAACAAAACCACTGAGAACGATGTAGTGCATATGCCAAGCCAGTAAGTGGCGCTGTAACGCTGCTGAGGACAAGCACAAAAGACAGAAGAAGAGTACGGAGCATGCGTATAAAAGTTGTTTTGGTCGGACACACGCAGGTGCCATAAAAGAGTTATGCTTTGCGTCACATAATTGTTTACAGATTTATGCACTCTCTGACTCATTTTCAACAAGCACTATTTACAGTCATCTGAAACGCTGTTTCCAATGGATGAAACGCTGATACAACAAAAAACTTTTGTGTTTACTCCTGAATTCGTTTCAGTGTGGATGGGTTGATACATCCTTCAGACAGACTTTGCAGCGGGGAGTGTTTTGCTCTTCATTCGAAACTGCAAAGCCGTACCAATTCCACACAACTGAGTTTTTCTTGCCCTACTTCGCTATGAAATTACCGCCTCCTATTGGCGAAATTAATGCCATGTTTATTTACACTGGTGTGTGTGGGAACTTGGGAGTGGTCCCGCAGGGAGGGGGACCCTACAGTGGCCTGAAGGCGCAAGACATAATTTTTTTAACATCCTCATAATCAAATAATCCGATTACTATTTAAAAACATTTAATCGTACAGCCCTAGTTCATGCAGCCACCACTACCTCACTGTTCATGATTAATCTGCATTAAAACACCAATCTGAAACTGACCCCATTATCTGCTCTGTCATATGACTGCAGAATTAAACATGCACACAAGCAGGGGCACTGCAGGTACCTGGATAAGACTAAGTGAAACAGATCCACCTGGCTCATCGCGTTACGCATTCATGTTGTGGTCATGCATGAGGACTACTGAACAAACAGAGTCAAATTGTGCTTTTCCTTTTACTGTCTGAACCTGCAGCACATGTGCATTGCAGTGATGTAAAGTTACATGAAGAAGAAGACCGTGAGTCTTCATATTATAAGAAGCTCCCTTTTATTAGAACAAGTGTGTATGTGGCCAGTTCAGAGTCAGCCTCAAATGGATGATTGAGGAACTGCAGTTAATCATCTTTATTTCTTTACCTCTTGAAGCACCGGCCACCGGAATACATTTTATCCTACCCTCACAGCACAAAAAACAGTGTTGCTCTGTCTTTGATTTAACCAGATTTTTGTTCTTTTGCTTAGTGAATTTGGCATTTTAAAACCCTGTAGGAGCTGTTTAACTTTTCTTTAACCCCATCTGTTGTTTGGATCCTAAATATGTTAAAAAAAATGACAACAAAGGTTTAAAAATGTCAAATACCCCCTTTGAACTCCTGTTTACATGTTATAAATTATACATTTTTAGGAACCTGTGAGGAGGAGAACTGCTTTCAGCTCCAGCCAGTGTTTATGTCTATAATAAAATAACCTTTTTTACCTTTCAGCCTGTGAAGAAGAGCTGCCTCTGAATCACCATACCAAATAGTGTGGCTGACAAGGCAATAGACTTTCTTTTTAATAAGTGTTATGACAACCAGCCTGAGTCCATTTGTTGCTCTGAGAAGATTTCAAAAAGCCAAAGAGCCGTAAAAAGAAATTTACAGAGAGTCCATCTTGTCTGTGCCTGGCATCCAAACTGCTCGGTTAAAAGTTTTAGATGTTTATACGTCTTACCCTCCTGACACCAGCACTCTCCATCTCCAGCAGCCTCCAAAGAGAAAAACTGTGATGCCTTCGAGAGCCCAAAGGGCGCTTTTTTCTCAGACAAAGTCACCCCAAATCAGCCAGACACTCTGGCTTTAAATGACTAACACAAATCACAGCTGGAGAGCACAGCTGTCCAGTATTTCACCAGACTGTTCTTAAGGCTCCTGTGATAATGTCTGGGACTGGCACACAGATGTGAAGACAGCCTGAGCAGGTACTAGGCTCAGACCAGTGCAGACTCAGAGGAGTAGTGTATGAGCTGGTCCTTTAGTCAGAGTGTCACAATTAAGGGAGCCGGAGCAGCAAGTTTAGCTCGAAGATGCAATCAGCACACACAGTATTATAGGTTGTTACCTCTGTAACTATGCATAGACAGAGTATTACTTATTGTGCAAGCACTAGATTGTCTCATCATGAAATGTTATCCAGACTGGTCTAAAGATGCACAAATACCTCTAACAAATAGAAAGACAAATAAGAATACAGATGGAAAATTATACCATGCATAATACAGTTTGCAAAGTTGGAGATGAAGGATTTACATAAATTTGCTGCTCAGGAGTGCAACAGTAAGACAATAAATGTGCAGTCTGATCAGTATGCAGCAGATGCAGCAGTTTGGATGTGCATTATTTTAAGTGGATTGTGCACAGGAGAGAAGAGGGTGAATAAAGATCTCTCAACTTTTAACAATATGGGAGTAGGAGTAGAAAATAGACTTGGTGAATTTATGGATACTTGGATAGCGGTAATGTGATATTCAGCTTTTAAACAGTTCCTGAAGCATCTGCAAACATCTCTAAGAGGGATACAGTAAATATATAGATGATGTTACTGCATAGTACAACAATAAATGCTACTTATTGGTGTGAGGGCTCACCATAGACTGTATACACTATAGACAACTTTGTTCCGCATTCCGCCAGTATACAGATTTGAAGCCTAAAAGCTCTCTGTAATTCTGCATTTTTTCTCCACTTCTTGAAACCAACATTGCATAGTAGCATTGTACGCTTTTGGCGGGAGAGTCGCTGTGATGACGCTTGGCTCAAACAGTGTATCCCCTGGGTGAGCTACGCAATCTTCGTAGGCCCATAGGCTGTTTCTATCAATCAATCGATTAATCAATCGATTAATGTAAGTGTCAATCATAGAAAACATGAACCCCCAAATAATTTTAAAAAATGGAGATGTACACAAGCATGGGGGATAAAAATTTATATTCTGTGTAATTAATTTCTAAAGTCTATCCACAGCTCCATAGGGATTGCTGGAGGAGTGCTGTGCTAGTTGGGCTACCCCAGTCAAAAATTCTCTCACTCCTTGCATAGTTCTTCTTCCTCTGGAAGCTGTTGTTCTTTTTCTTTAGTTTTTCAAATTCAAAATGAATGAGGTTAAATTCAGCCAAGTCCACTGCTTTATTGCAGCAAGCAAACATCCTCAGTCTACTTTAACAACACAGGCCAACCACATGAAGTGAGACAAACCCTTAAATGTCAAAACACCACTCAGAGACACAGTGTTATAATCACAGCTGTTACACTTCAAGGTTAGGTTCAGAGTCTGGAGTACATGTGTAGTGTACTGGTGCCAGTTCTCCTGGAGGGCTCGCCAAGTTCTCTGCATTCATAGACAGTACTGAAGCAGCCAGTAAGTGCATTGCCCCCTACACTCCGATCACTACATGGACAGTGAGGTTAGAAACTGAGAGGCTGAATTTGTGACAGTTTCACTTCTGAATTCAGAGCCCTGCATAAAATCTGACTGGTTCAGGTTTCTGGTGAGTAACTGAAGCACTGCACTGACATCTTCTTTCCCACTTACCACCTCTGCTTATACCGTTATATCATTGTGTTTATCACGTTGTTCCTCTCAACTGTCTGATTACCTTCCTGCTCTGCTCTCTGCATGTTTTATTTTGTCATTTCTTTCCACTGAGAAAGATTTGCTACTTATCTGTGAGGTGACCACACAGACTGTTCCCCACAGAGGAGACAATTATCCACAGCATTACAGCGAATCATCCGCATTATGTGGTCTAGACTCAAAAATTATCAAAGGCTTTTCATCTAACTCACTTTGAATTGAGGTGTGTTATAAGTAAGTAAACGCACACAGCAGGGGAATATATCCATGTCACTACAACTATTCAGAGATTGGTTTTAATAAAGTGGTTTGAGTAATAGCAGCACATTTAATCCCCACTGTTTCATAATAACTATACACCAGATGCTAATCATCTGCCAGATGTTGCATCAGTGCAGCATTATCTATCAAATGATTGTTGTGTACAGGGGCGAAGCTTACACCATAAAAACAAAAGAAATGTGAAAAAACAGGATAAAGAATGAGTGTTATTTATCGGCAGGAACAGACTCCTGCAGACAGTCACACCTGTTTGATTTGTTCTTCTCCGGAAAATGATAACGTGATGCATTCTCCATCCAAAACGTCAGCCTGAAACTCTATCAGCTTCCACCCAGTCCCACAGGCACATCAGGCTGTTTACCTGAGCTCACACTGTTCAGCAAAGTCGCAGGGTTTGTTTAACAGTGTCAGCTGTCTCACCTCCAAACCTTCTTCTCTGACGCATCCCTGCAGAACTTTCTTCCTCATGGTTCTGTCATTTGAAAATCTCTGAATCGAGTAGCTAACACTACACCCAAACTTCATCAGACTGTCAATGGGGAAACATTTTTCAGACATTAATTCCAGGATTTGTGCAAATTGGAACAAAAATAACCTTTTATGTTTGCAAATTGTCATTTTTAGATGCCCTTCATCTCACTTTCAACATCTAACTAAAATACAGTGACAGTAGATGAATGTAACTCTTCATTTGACTGCATAGTTTTTTTTATTGTGTCATTGGATGTGGCACATACAGGACCCAAGAGGGATATTCCTTTCTATTCTGGTGTTTATCATAGGATAAGAAGAACTTTATTGATCCCAGAAGGTAAATTCAATATTCATTGTCAGGGTTCTATAATTGCAATGCCCTGAGATAAGAATAATGTACTTTGAAACAATACTAGCAGAAATCGAACATTATAAATACCCATTTCAATACTGAAGCACTCCTGGACACCCAGAATGTATATCCAATATCAATCTTAAAATGGATTTGCAAGCTGCACACAGTAATGGTGCAGGAAACATCACTGAACACAGACCAACACTCATACTGTTAGAAGTAAATAAAGGGGAAAAAAAACAGATTTTTCCTGACAAAACTGAACGGCCAAATTTAAGATTCCCTCATTCATTAATCCTGCTGAGGCGTGTAGTGGTGAGTGTATGTGCTCTCTGTCTGTATTTTCTCATTTTCCCACCAATGTAGTCATTTCATGGCCATCAGTCATTGTGCAGTGTTGTGAAGCTCCCTGTCAACAGTGTGCAGGTCAGGACTAATGGATAACACATGGGGACCAGCTGACATCACCCGCCGCCCTCCTCTGCTCTCTGTCTGTCTTCAGGAGGTTTGAATGTAACATCTATATCTCATACAAGACTCCCAAACACGAGCTTTGCATGCAGCACGTCGTTGGTAAAACGAGTGTGAAATATCTCCAGACTGCTGTGCCTCTGTTGAGCGCTCTCTCCATGCTACATTAGCTCTCAGCTAAGAAAAATGCACAGACCTACCGGCACTGATGATGGCTGTTTTAAACACAGAATAGCAAATGGGCATGGAAGCCATTTGTTTTACTCTGTAGCTGCTGTCAAATGATAAAAAATAACACCCCCATAATTTATTTGACCACTTTGTTTTCTCTATTGTCTGCCCAGACGTTTCAGACACTAAACTGCTAATTTGATTGAGTATATGTGACTCAATCAGCGCTACTCACACCTCCCTTTTTTTTACTTTTAGCAATTTTAGGAGGAAAAAAAAAAGCATCTATACCTCTAAATATATATGAATAAAATTCCTAAGTTTGTTCGTATTATAGGTAGTATAGGTACAGATTCAGTTGGAAACAAACACAGCTGTGATACATTACCTTCCTAAACATAATCCCTAGCTCTACAGTCTTGCATGCAAGTAACACCCTTACCCTCCTTCAGTTCAAAAACAGAACAACCACCCCTGTGTAGGCCACAGGTTGTTAAAATATACTGCAGCTCCTGGACAGGTATCTGCAGTTCCCTTTGTCATTTTTTCGCCTGACATCCTGAAACTCAGCCAGCTACACAACCTGACCTTTTTCTAACACTGACTTTTCACTCCCTCCAAGTCTGTCCTTGTATTTTAGTTTACCTCCTCACTCTTCTTTTTATCCACCACCTATTGAGAGCTCTGACCTTCCAAGTTATTAAACAGAGAAAAAGCCTGACAAGAGCACAATTCATTTAGTCTTACTGCTTTTTTGTGTTGGAAAGAAAACTAAAGCAGAAACAACATGCAGAAACAATCCTGCTTTTTTCCCAGTGTGTGAATACAGCGTACAAAAACTGAAAGGAAACTTAGTTAAGAATCAAAACTGGCAAAGAATAAAGTAACTGTAAATTTTAGAGAATAAAAAACATACCAGGGTCTGACTTGGAGAAGGTATCCACATCCAGCAGGCTCCTGTGGAAACAGCAGAGGTGAAGGTTAAAATGGAATTGTTTTTTCATGTTACAGAAATGAACCTACACTTTCAGCATTAACAGCTAGCAAAACAAATGAAAAGATATGGCCCAGGTACATCCGTCTGGGAAAATTCAGGAAAGTTTTAATAATCCTTCGCTTCAGGATCCAGTGAAATGAAGGGAGAACATTTTGTTTCCGAAGCAAAAAGTCCCCAAACCTGACATCAACCCCCTGCTGAAGCCTCTTTTACATACAGTGTGAACAACTGACATTGTTCAGACTTTCCCCAACCTCAAGTCTGGACTTGTTAATACAAGGGTGAGACTGGGTAAAAAAAGAAGCAGGGGTTTTAAGATGACTACAACATGCCTGAGAATGTCTCTGCATCCCCTTTGCAAGAGTGCATTTAATTTGGTCATTTGCTTTCACAAAATGCTGCCACCTGAAAAATTTCTGGATTTTTTCAGAGGTACGGTGAAAATGTGAAAGGAGCTTAAATTACAGTATTTAGAAACTAGAAAATACAGTAATACCCAAATTCTATATTAAAAAGCTCTCATGCCCACTCATCCTTTCAATAAAGCAACAGCAGCCTTCAAGGACAAGAAGCTCCTGATATGCATGATATCAAATTTCCTTGTACACAACAACCTCTGACTTCTTTATCTATCTAATTTCTGTTATGATATGGTGATAAAACACAAATTTAAACATGTCTCTGAATATCCACTTCTGTGAAATGCTACTAGCTAACACACTGCACCTTTGAGTTTCAGTTTCCAAGTTGTATGGTCACCTACATGCACAACCAAACAGAGCAACAAATCAGAGACACAGTGATAGGCTGCCGGGGTAGGACGTTAGTTAAATCCTTCAGATCAAATGGGAACTTCTGAACATGCACAAATACAGGATACATACAAACAACAGGAGGGCAGGAGTTGGTAGTTTGTTGGTTGCTTCGATCATGGTTTTAAAGTAACCCTCTCAGTTTGCCTTAAAAGTTTCACAGTTGGAAAAAGTGCAATATAACGGTTCCGTATCAAGAGTCAGCAGTACAAAAAGGTACTCTAATACACTTTTTTCTGCTACCAGTGAGAAAATATGGACAAAATGTTTCCTTCCGCTTCACAGTTAAAGTGTGTGATACCCAAAAGTTACTAACTGCAAGTAATCAGCTGATTTAATGTTGTGACTGACACTTGACACAAATCAGTAACAGTGCGAAAGCTAAAAGATATGAACCCCCCAAAAGAACTAAAACCATTAGTAAAGCTACTAGATGTCACCATTTTTGATAAATTGGACGTTTGTTCACCTGTTTTCTCCTCTGCTTTTGTTTTAATCCAATACTGACACCAGGAACTGCCAAACAGTTTGACAGCAGGTCATTGGTTTAGATAGAGCTGTTCCTGGTGGAAGGTACCACTCCCAACAGGTGTGGAGGGGGGTTTGTGTTACCACATTGAAGAATGCATTTTCTTGTTTCTCTTTCAATAATCTCTTTCTTCAGTTTATTTAAATGTATTCTTAATATTATTTCAAAATGTTGTGATTCCGTTCCAAGACGGTAAATTTGTTGGGTTAAGTGTCTTTTGGTTGGACCCAATCAGGAGGCTGGAGGTCCCTCAATGCTGGTTGAGAGTGCAGAGGAGCTTTATGATGACCCAAGTCATTTCTTTGTTTTCCACAGTTTACTTCTTAGTTTAGTAATATTTTATAGTCTTTTTTTAATTATACCCTCTACTACAGGGTCTGAACAGTAAATCTTGCTGCACAGGAGTTTAGTTTTTACTGTTTAATAAACTCATGTGGGCTGGTGGTTAGAGTTTTGCCTCATTTTTGTGCATTTGTGCGCTCAGTCACTCTCATGGGAAGCTTTATAATAATCCCTTCACATAATTAGACTATTAAAATTAGACAATGAAAGCAGGAGTTTTGTGCTGCACATTATCACAACTAAAAACAACCATATAAAACAATTAAAATTTTAATTATGAAGTTGTTGTGAGGCCAACAGTCAAAGTTTGTTTTATACAAATGAACTTTCATACTCTGTTTTAGAAAAGTCCAAATATTTTAAGGTTTTAAATATTGCCTTGTCTGGTTTTGCCAATGTAAAGTTTGTTATGAGTGATTTTATTTACCTCTGTATTAAAGACAATCATGTTTCCAATTTTATAATTGGAAACAATTTGGTATAGAGTTGACAGCTGAAGACAGCTGAGCATGGACTCTGGAGGAAGGAGGAAACAAACACTGCCGTAAAAGACGTAAACCTGAGGATGGACATCAGAGATGGAAGACTAACATGTTGATTTGTAGCAACAACACAAATGTTTGCAAGGTGTGTCTCGAAAAAACACCACAATCCAAGTGATGAGGAGAGGAGAGATGTGATCTTAATCATTCATCAACAAAACTCTTAAATATGCAGTAATTCCATTTTCAGGGCTGTCGTTAGTTTTACGAGCCACCAGATGTTGCTGTGTTTGCAGAGTCAGAAGTTTCAACACTTTAAATCCTTTTCATCACAAATTTGGAAAAAAAAGGACCTTATCTGTTTATTTCTACCGGTCACCAACAACCAGAATCCACAGTTCAAACTGGAAACCTGTTAAAACCTCAACTTCATATCAAACATTTTGGACTTTTTGTAAAATGTACAATCTTAAATCTAGGTGACTGATCATCTCCTGAGCAAATCACAGTAAAAACACACCGCACGCTGAAGATCTGGTGAGTTAATCTTCAGAACCATCAGATGATCTGACCTTTGCTGACTTTTGTCAGACGGGGGGAATCAACCCCAAAATCGTCGCAATTATCCTGGTGTCACTGAAGTCTGGATGTGGGGAAAATTGGTTTATCTCTAATCACACTATTTTGTAAAAAACCATGATTAAATGTCAAATGAGGTCTTAGATTTTGGTTCCAGCTTTTCCACATCTTTTGTGGGGAGATAAAATCACAAAGACCTCCCCCCTGAGCTCCCCCTCCCCTCCCTCCTTCGGTTTAGGCTGTCTCACTCAGGTGTCTGGACACCTCAAGCCGGGCTCATCTCAGGAGGGACCACACAGCTGCACTGGACATTTATTATTCAGGAATGGACGGAAAAGACAGTCAGCGCACCTCCAGGCAGGCTGACAGTCTGGAAAACCCTGACTGGGTTTCACTGCTCTGTCAGTCAGCTCAGCATCCAGGCAGGCGGTAAGACAGGCAGCAAACCGTTCAGCTATGAGACAACCCATCACTTAACAGTAAATGCTGGAGCATGTGGGTGACGATTTATTCTGGGGATTTAAAACCAATATTGATCATGAATTCCTGAGTATTAGTAATTTTTACATTATTCACAGACACCTTGAAACTTGATTTTCAGTGCCCTCCATAGTTTAGCATTTATAATGACGAAAAATCAATATTTATAAACTGAGTCATTGACTGGATCTAATGAAGAGACTCTAGAGAATCATAATTGATCGGATTCATATGAGAGGCAGCTAATGGGATCAACCTGAAAGCAAACATCACACAGTAAAAGGTCATACACGAAGGACTAGACCATAGATAGATAGATAGATAGATAGATAGATAGATAGATAATTTCGTATTGTATTCCCAAAACGTTTCAAATATCTAAAACGCTGCAAAAAAAATGAGGTTTATTTTTAGATGTGATTGAAATATACAGATAAACGAGGGAATAACATCAGCAGAAGATACTTGAATAGGACAGAATAACTCCGGACAATCGTCACATCACCTAAACTTGCTCCAAAAGACTGAAAATCACACCAGGCGGACTTTTAATCTGGTTGAAACTGTCATATTTCTACAGGTACATGTATGAGAGTTTGCTCTTACCGGCAGGACACTGTAACTTCTATTTTAGTTGCAGGGACTCTGGTGTTGAGAGGGTCGAATTCCCCTATTGATGCCATCATCTCGACCACTGCCGCTAACGAGCATCCGCAAAAAGACCGGAGATCTGCTCATTGACAGCAGGATGGAAATCGCAGTAAATCCATTCTCGAGATCTCTTTCAGCGTATGGGGCAGAGAGCAGCGGAGGATGGAAAAAGAGGAGACTGGGGGGCGAAAATGAGACACACAGAGAGAGGGAGAGACGGTGAAAGTTGTGAGGCAGATTTAAAGTTCATTCATCCTTCACGCGTCTGTCTCGGTGCGCTCCATGAGCCTGTCCGGAGCTGAGGAGGAGGAGGAGGAGGAGGGGGAGGAGAGCGCAGCCAACCGGAGGCAGCGGAAACAACAAGGGGCTTCTATCACGCCCTCCCTCTCTCCCTGTGTGTGAGTGTCATTATTTAACTCACCTTAAGTCGCCTGTTAGATCAAGAGTTTGTCAAATAGCCTGAAGTAACCAAAGTCGCCATTACGCACGTAAATCACTGTTTTCCTCTCCCTCTCTCCCTCTCTCTTCCATCTCTCTGCTCCCTTCTGTGACAATCTTTCTTATCGCGAAGATGTTACAAACTCCGGGCCTTAGTAAATGAATTTGAATTTCTAGTCATTAAAATACTAAATTAACGTCAAATACTACTATACAAGCTTTTGGTTATATGACTGACTAGTCCAGGATCTCCAAAGTCAAAGAAACACGCTGAGGCTGGTATTCATTTTCAATTGTAAAATCAGCAAGGATAGAAAATGCATAAAGCTAGACCTGCAGCACTTTGCAGCATTTAGCGGGTTACAATGGAGAGGAAAAACTTTCTTTAACAGGCAGAAACCTCAAGCAGAACCAGACTCATGTTAGACCGTCGTCTGCTGCTAAAGGAGGACTGATGGCCTGTGATCTAACTAATGAAACAGTCAAAGGATTGTTTGAAAGTATCAATACAGAGTTTGTTTGTAACCCTAAGAGGCACAAACTCCAACATTGTTTTTAATAAATCTTGAGTATCAGTTTTCAAAAGTGCTGCATTGTCTTTCACTGTGTTGTTACAGCTAGAGCACAAGCAGTTTTCTCCTTCGTGTATTCTCCTTCTTACAGTGCAAAAAAAAAAAAAAATTGAGAAAGATAAAGTTTCTCTTCATCTTCAGCTTTGTAACAGAAGGCCGAAGGTTTTGTGCCAGCACTGACGGGTATTTGGAACTGTTCATAATTCCCTCCACCCTGACTAAGGCACCAGTTCCAGCTGAAGAAAAACAGCCCCAAAGCATGATGCTGCCACGACCATGCTTCACTGTGGGTATGGTGTTCTTTTGGTGATGAGCAGTATTAATTTTGCACCATATATACAGTATCTTTTGTAATGATGCCCAAAAAGTTCAACTTTGGTTTAATCAGACCTTAACACATTTTCCCACATTTGTTGGGAGATTTTAGATGTCTTTTTGCAAAATTAAGCCGGGCTTTGATGTTTTTCTTTGTTAGATAAGGCTTCCGTCTTTGCCACCCTACCCCATAGCCCAGACATATGAAGACAGCGGGAGGTTGTTGTCACATGTTCTACACAGCCAGTACTTGCCAGAAATTCTTGCTTATTATCAATTTTGGACGGACCTCCTGTCCTTGGTAATGTCACCGTTGTGCCATATTTTCTCCACTTGATGATGACAGTCTTTACTGTGTTCCATGGTATATTTAATTCCTTGGAAATTCTTTTGTAGCCCTCACCTGACTGATATCTTTGAATAATGAGATCCCTCTGATGCTTTGGAAGCTCTCTGTGGACCATGGCTTGTGCTGGAAGATGTGGCCACAAAAATGTCAGGAAAAGCTACTAGAACAGCTGAACTTTATTTGGGGTTGATCAGAGGCACTTTAAATGGTGACAGGTGTGTGCTGACTCCAATTTAACCAGAGTTTGAATGTTATTGGTTAAATCTGAACACAGCCACATCCTCAGTTATTAAAGGGTGTGCACACTTATGTAACCACATGATCTCAGTTGTTTATTTTTACTTCACCTCCCTAAAAGATTTCTGTTTGTTTTTCAATTGTGTTGTACAGGTTATAGGTCACATTAAAGGTGGAAGAAGTTGTGAAATTATTTATCTTGATTTATTTTTTTTACATGACAGAAACCTGGCAGTTGAACAGGGGTGTGTAGAATTTTTACATCCACTGTATGTCCTGTGGCAGCCAGCATGAAACACCTTTGAACTCACAGATTGATCTTGTGTTTTTTTAAGCAAGATTTCAGTGAGGCTGTATTACTATACTGGTGATAACACAAACAGTTGCAGTGTGTTTTTTTTTTTTTTTAATAAAAAAAATAAAAAAAGAAAACAAAGCAACTTCAATAAAAAATGAAAAAATAAACATACATATGACAAACAATTATTTATCAGGCAACAGTTTTCATTCACAGGGCTGTTAGAGTAGATGAATTACAGTTTCAAAATCATAAATAAAATAAAAGATGGTATGTAAGTTAGTGAGGTTTATTGGTAAAGTTAATTCAATCAAATGATGCTTTACTAGTAAAACTTTAAACAAAATATTAATCATAGTATTTGTTGGCCACACAAATCATGGGATTAAAATCTGATGTTGCCACAGCCCTAACATCCTAATATATTTTTTAAAGATGACAAATGCTCATTGTCCAGGTCATGTATCAAAATATAGTACTTAGCAGTGACACAAAAGGTTGTGCGTTTAAGTAAATGAGCAAATGAGCAAAAACGATAACTTTAATGGGAAAGTTTCAGTTATTTTTCAGCCATTAATGGGTTTGTCCGTGGAAATGTTCCTGTTTGAGTAAAACACAGTGATTTGCTGACACTTTCAGTTCAAAACTATCACACATTTATGACTGAATAAAGGAGATTTTACTATACCTTTTGGACAAACTGGATGCTAAAACATGTTGAACCTCTTCCAAGATGTTTTGGACTCTAAATCACCAATTTGACGCCATGCACAGTTAACATCATGGAAAATATATTTTTAAAAAACTACAGTTAGAGCCAATGAAGTCAGTGGACACCTGCCACCCACCAGCATTTTAAAACATCACAAATACAATGTGGAAATGATCTTACCGCTGATGGTCTTGTTTACTTTTGCTGGACATAGTGAGACATCACTTTCAGTGTCAGTCTGATAATATCCTCACAGGAGCTTTAAAAATGCTGAATCTATTAGTAATTCCCTCATGATTTGTTCACGTTCTTCAGTGACATTTCAGTTTTTAATCTCGAGTATGTTCTCATTTAGGGATGCTCTTGCAGTAGTATACATATATCAAGCCTTAAATTCACACTAAACACTCTTGGATGAAGAGGTTGATGTCTGTATCTCTGCCATGTACTCTGTATTTCATAGGATTGTGTTGTGTCTGAGTGTGTCTGCAGTAAATAAGAGGAGGCTTGTAGAAGATGGGGGATAACTAGAAGTTAAACAGCCATTTTTTACCCCTGCAGCTCCCTGACAGTTTAATCTGGCTGCAGTAATGAAGCAGGAGTCTCACATCTGCAGGTGAAATTATAGATAAGCAGGAACAATCTGGCATTTTACATCTTCAGAAAGAAAAGCACTCCATCTTTATTCACCTGTGGAAATCCTGAGCAGGAAACCCCCCCCCCCCCCCCGTATATATTTAATCCCACCGGCATCCTCGACTCGGGCTCCTTCATGCAGCGACCGCTCACCTTGTAATAACACAGAGGTATGTTACATCATATTCCTGCATATATTCAGTGAAGCAGGTAATCAAACAGTCGGTTTGCACACCCATGCTCAATTAGCTGAACAGAGGAAACAAGCTGTCATCTTCTAATGAGATGTCTGCGCGGCTAAATATGGAAGGGCTACACTGTAATTTTCCATTAATCAGCTCTCCTGGAAGCAACATGACACACTCCTCGAAGCCTCCCACTGCGGCCTCATCACCTGAGTTACATATCCAAGCTCCTGCAGAAAATAGCTCTGTTTCGTTTGTTCTGTATCAGGAAAGTAAAGCTGCAAAGAGCCTCAGGAAGAAGACGAAAAAGAGCGTGTCAACATGCAGGAAGAACAAAAGAGAAGTGGTTTGAAAGGTGATGTAAACATGTTGTGTGAGACTGATGGGGGATGATGCAGGACAAGCTGCTATGAAACATCCAGGTGGAGTTATTTTGGGCCAGAGATAGACTCCTTTATAGACTGTTTCTGAGGTAATAGACAGTGAGTGTCTCCTTTGGCTTTTTTTTACACGCCAGTAATGACAAATAATCGTTACTCCCAACTATGTCTGCGTGCGTGTGTGTGTGCATGGGTGTTCATGTGTGGGTTTGTGTTTGTTTGCCAGCAGATTCACTCAATTTTGCAGCTGATCAGGCAGAAATTGAAATTCTTCACGGACTGAAGAAAACATTGAAGGTAAGAAATGGGGAGTGAGTCAGAAATAGAGGGAAGATAAATGGAGGAGGGTCTGCGGATGAAAAAAAAATGAGACTGGAAAAGGGGATGAAATAAAAGACAAGAAGAGAGATAAACATTTCTCATTCTCGAGAGTGGGTGTTACAGTGGACACGGGCTATTTTTTTTCTGTGTGTGTATGTGTGTGTGTGTTTGATGGCAGCTAATTACTCAAGATGCAGAAATCCTGCTCCGTTTCTCTGCAGTCAGGCAGGGGTCTGACAAATAGTGAAGCCTGCGGTAATTATGTAAACTGAAAAGGAAAAAAAATCTCTTATTTGTTGACTTTCCTCAGGTGTTTTGGCCTGTTTCCTTTCCTTCCTTTATTACATTTTACATTTCCTCAGAGGTCAGAGAGAGGTGGCCATAAATACTGATGCAGGCTTTTATAAACAAAGTTTGGGCGCTTTTTATTAGGCCTGCAAGAGCTGTGAGAGCTATTCAACAAGAAAAACAGCTTTGTTTTTGTCCTCACTGTTCAGCAAGTCAGCTTCAAAAGTAAACTTGTAAGAAGAGACTTCAGGTGAACTCAAAGAAACTCTTTTTTTGTAAGGATAAAAAGCCCAACTCATGAGTCCAATTTACAGGTTTGATTGATCAGCATCATCTTGGGTGCAGACAGACTGAAAATTGTTTGTTTTAGCTCAGCTGCTCTAATATCCTCTAACCTCCATCACACACAAAGATACAGGATCCTCAAATCTACAACAACTGGGTCTGATCTCACTGTTTGTTCTTAAGGTCTGAACTGAACTGAAGAAAAATGAAGCATTCAGAGGGAGAGGACAAAGACAAGGCAGAGGACACAACCACAGACAGTATAGAAAATAGACACAGTCTCAGTCATTTTGTCGGAT